AAGAACGATTCATATTCATTTAACAAGCCGTGCCTTGATTTTGAGTTGGGGCATATAGCTCATTTCTGGCGTTTGCACAGGACCCTGAGGCAACCCAAACACGACTGTCGCTTCAAAGTGGTGGCTAAAGCAGGGACATGATCTGTGCAGGCGGGCAGGTCAAATTAGCTGATTCAGTCACTCGGCCCCTGGCCAATAAGAATGCACTTGCAAAACCACCAGCATCATGGGTTTGTTGCGCTTTTGGTGGTGCCCTTTTCAGGTTGCTTTCAAGGGCTACCCACGAGATGTACTGGGCCCCGAGCTCAAAGTTGACGTCGCAGTTCGAGTCGTGGGAATCGAAGACCTGAGCTGCTCGCTGTGGCGCTCTGCTCGGGAACGACTGATGAGCCAGCTGGCCCATAACCTCCCAACCTTTTCGGAAATTGACTTCAACTCCGGATCGACCAACAAACTGGGCACCCTTGGAATTTGCCTGTTGCCTTCCAGCGCCCTAATGCGCCCCGAAGAACACAAAGACGCCGGGCCGATGCTGAGTTCGGAGCAACTATGTTGACATACGGAGGCGTGGTGAAGAAAGGATATGGAGGCCTCAGCTTGCAGTGGCCCCTCCTTCTCTGACCTGCCCAGCATACAGCTCAGGCACCTAAAAGTTAGAACTAGCCCAGCATGCTCATGCGCACCTGTTTGGCAACATGATGGAAACCCGCAAAATGTCCCAAGCAGAAACCTCACCAAGATGAACTTCCTCTGCAATGGGTCAGGCACTCGCAGGAACTTGCAAGCACACATGCAAGACTCAGATGACTGGGCCGGAAGTCGTCTTTGCGATCCGAAGCCTAAACTGCTCAGACCAAAGTCGTTGAACAGACAAACTCCAGCTCAGTGCATTTGTGGCCTGGCTTCACCTCCTGCTCCACTTGGCTTCACCCCTCCCTGGGGTTGCGCCCATGGGGCTGCTGCTCCAACTGCTGCAGCTGCCGCCCCTCTTCCTGTGGCTTGGGCGCAGATGGGCGCAGGAATGGGAAACGCAGGAATGGGAAAACATAGGCCCCAGCCCCCAGGAAAGGCTCGCAACGGCTTTTCAGAAGGTGTTCTTAGAAAGGGGGCAGCGGGCCCCAGTGTCTCTCTTTATTGGGCTTAAGTATTGGGGAGATCTATGGGGGATCTTTCCCTTGTGAAATGACCCTGCTGCCTGCTAACACCGAATCGAGGCATTCACTTGGCAAAGTGAGGAGGTCTTGCGAACGCTGGTCGTCTGCTGCTTTGCTACCAACAGCATTGCCAACTGGATTGGCAACAAGTAGCTCAAACAGGGAAGAAGCAGGGACGTCGTTTCAGCAATTGGTGCTTCAACATGGAAAAAGCCACCAGGGATTAACCCAACCATATCTTGAGACTCCTAAGATGCCTGGATTCTGCCGATGTTTGACGACCATGCCTGGAGCTTGCGGTACGCAGCCTCTTCTAGGTCCTTCGCCTGCACCAGTCGCAAGCCAACTTCCAGCCCTCCGTCCCACTTCCATGGGATAAGCTACGGGCCTGCCCCCGTCATATGGCCATGGGTCAAAAAACCATACCCCCAGTGAACATCCCAATTTCCACTAAAATAGACTAAAATGAGTGGTGCAAAATGGTACCATTGGTTTTGACCCACAGCCATATGCCTATCGTGCAGCTCGTGAATTGGGTCCGTTAAGGTCACGTTGGTTTCCAGGTGCCCTTGGCCATTGGCGCTCAGTGCCATGGAATTCCACACGCAACAGAGGGAGACCCAAATCCCAAATGATTCCTCATGTTGACCCCGGATTGGAATTAGACAAACCTAGCTGTCATTAGCAAGTTCCTACCGAGCGGGAAGTTGTCTTCCAACCAGCCCCCCAAAATAATGACTGGAAGGGTCAACAGGTGTTTTCAACAGTACGTGTCACTACGAGTCTGCACCTCGGCAAGGGAGGGGAGCTGGGGGATGCGTGAAGCCAAAACATCACCAGGGAGCTGAAGTCATATCGCAGAAACTCAAGACCCAAAACTGGCGAAAACCATCCACCACAAGACTCCAAAGAGAATTGGGAATACCATGATCCACTAGGTGCGTGCTGCAAAAACGTTCTGGCAACCGGAAGTCCGATTCAAAGGTTAGTTCGGACCTGGCCTCCCAATATCTTTGAGCGGCGAGGTGCCGATCAGAAGGTGCTCGGCTCCTTAAGCGACGTCTCGCCGAAAGGTCGCCGATCAGGCAACAAAAAGGCATGCTGTTCGGTCAGTCGTTTTGAAGCGCTGAAGAGTGAGCCGAGCGGACTTCAAGCAGATTGAACAAAACAATGTGGCTGCCCAAAAGGCCCGCATGCTGACAAGGTCATGTGCATGGGAGAACCGTCGCTGTCAGGAGCTAATTCCTTATGATGTACCACTTGGGCGGATCCATGTCGAAGTGGCACTCTCCAAGGGGTGGGCAGGCCAGCAGAATGATGGACAACTAAGAGCGCAGCGGCGCAGCAAAAACTGCATTCTCGTGAGCTCCAAACCCACCTGCAACGGCCGTCTGCAAACAAGAACGGCAAGACTCCCTCGCACTCATTCATGCACTCTCGCTCTCTCTCTCTCTCTCTCTCTCTCTCGTTTGCTCGCTCGCATGCGCTCTCCTAGCTGCCAATAACCGCACATAGGCGACGTCAACAGAACCAAGATAGACTCCTACAATAAGACTACTTTCCTCTTGGAAAGGGGCTTTGCGATGCTTTACGCACTTCCATGTTAGTTGGTGGTGGGGGTTCATGTCAGGTGTGTTATTTTTCTTGCGTTGAAACGCATACACAGCATACGTATGCATTCATGCATGTTATACACTTGTTGTCCTTGTTGTCCGTGCATACGTGAATGTACGCGTGTACGTGTATATATTCAATATCCCCTCTGCAAAAAGTTTAAGTCTTTGTGGGTTTAGTGGAAAACCCCATGATTTCCCTAAAAGTTAAAGTCTAAAGATCCAATCTAGCAATCAAGCTATGGGCTTTCACGTTAGGTGGTCGCAGCTTGTGTCCTTGGAAGGCCTTGCCCAGGCCTCTGTCGCCTTCACCAAGGCCTTTTTGCAGAACTGGCGAGCCTCAGGCGACCGTCTGGACGGCCTTTCTCGAGGCACCCGGTGGCCCGGGGAAAAAAGGGACGCCTTGGTTGCGCGTGAGGCTCATTTGATGCTGCACCTGGTCACCGGATGAATCAGCCAATCGGGAAAGGGACGCCTTTTTGGAGTTGACCACTTTTAGTGGGGAAGCCGCCAAAATGGGGGGGGGGGCAACCGGGTGCCACTGGACGACTGGGAGCATCAGCACCCACCTGCTAATGGAGAGGTTTACCGAAAGCCATGTCCAATGAAAATAAGCCAAAGCGCTCCTATTTCTTGTGGTGGGGGTCTCCTACTAGGCTTCGCTTGCTCAGGATTCGAACGTGGCTAAACTGAGTATTTCCCCGGACTGGTTTTGGCACAGCCTTTCAAATGTTCGGCTGTCGGGTCCAGGCGGAGGGGGCTTCTAGCTCAACACATGCTCACCGCTAAGTTCGGGGCCTAACACGTGGCCATGGAGAGAGAGCCAGCAGAAGAAGAGCGCGCGCAGCTGCTTCCCTGGCTGCGAAGGCAGTAAAGCAACATGCAGTTCCCAGTGGGCAGCCCATGGCCTATGCGCATGAAGCAGGGGATCGACTGAACACATGCGCAACAAGCAAGCTTCCCACAAATGCCAGGTCCGGTCATGTCTCACAACTCCAACGCTCGGCCGGCAAGTTATGATGCCCTTGCTTTCCTGTTCAAATGCCATGTCGGTCGCTTGATTTCTCCACGCGATGAGGAGGTGTGATGCTCGCCTCTTGTGGCAAGCTTGGAAAACTCAATGTTATGTTTTCCCGCTTCCCACAAAAGCAAAGAACAGCATCATTGAAACCATCACCGATTGCAACTTGCCTCGCAACCTCGCTGGGCTCTGCACAGGTCCCGCCTGTGAGCGGCTGCAGCCCGCAGCCCGAGAGCACCATGCGCCTGCCATATAGGTTGGGCAAGCCATCAATGCCGCAAACGAAGCACCAAACGACCAAATCGGTAGAGCCCTTCTATCAAGCCGCTGGTGAAGTGTACCCAACCCCCTTGGGACAAAATGACAAGTGCGACCATCTGCCATGCCTGGCTGGGCCAAGTGCGCTTTTGGCTGCGGCCTGAGAAGTGGCTGTGCCGACGGTGCAAAGTTCAAGCCCCGCAAAGTCACTCGTGCTACGGCCACCCTCAAAACATGCCCTCAAATGAATGTGGCTCAGAAAGAAGGAGCAAAATAACATGGAATCCTGGCAAACGGAAAACCTCTCTTCCAAACAAACAATGACACCTCACGCCAGTTTAGGAGGTATGACTGTTGCTCCAAGCCAGGCGTGACGACTGTCAGGAAGATTCGTGGGCTAAAGCAACAGTGGAGTGAGCACATCTTGGCAAAGTGGACGTGCCCGTCGGGACGGAGCCGCAGGCTCGAGCTCACATGGCATCTAAGGCCCCAGCCCGACTAACCTCTTCGGCGTGCAATCGCCCCACGATCCCTGCCCTTCATCAATTCCTTGATCTGTGCGGGCGGGGGCGCATCAACATAGGAGCCGGGCGCACGCAGCTCGCCATTCACAGCTGAAACATGTGCATGCACTTTATGACTTTATGTGCACAGACTGCGGCACAATCTCTCAAAAAGGCCAGCGCCAGGTTGAAGAATGTAAACGGACAATGGCAGCATGCATCATCGGGACCTGTCACAGCAATCTCATCTGAATGGGCCTGCACGCAACTCTTTCCTGCCCCGCAGTTTGCCACACGCTTTGGTGGACTGCGCTTCTGCTGGCACTTCGTGACCCGCAAGCGCGCTCGAACATTTGCTCGTGAAGTACCAATACCCAAAGAGATGCCTGCATCATGAAAGAAACGTTTCGATGACAGGTGTCTACTGGATGACTTTGACATCAACTTGGGCCTATGTTACAGGCCTCACCTGCTGCAGTCGCACGGACTGCACCGGCAAGTCCAAGATCTTCGCCAGCTCCGCCTCCAGCCTCTCCCGCTCCAAAGCGGCTGCCGAGGGCACCTGCACGCGGAACCCCACGCGCTCGGACGCGGCCGGTGGGGGGCCCGGGGGCCCCGGAGGTGGCCCCGGAGGTGGGCCTGGGCTGGGGCTCCCAAGGCGCGGCACTGGCGGAGGAGGTCGTGCAGGTTGGGGACCCGGGCGCGCCGCGAAAGGCCCAGGCGACATGGGACGCTCCTCATCGGAATCCTCCAGCCAGGGGTGCCTGGCACGCTGCTGCGGCATTGCGGCCCGCTGGAGGCCGCGGTCCACTGCCGCCAAGGGAGAGCTTTCACGCAGATTTGCGCCCAAGGGCACTTCAGTTGACGGCACACGGCGGGATGGGCTGCTGGGACGCGGAGGGGAATGGGAGCCTCGGTCATTCCTGTGCACAATGCTGTCCAAGCGCGCACGTGCCGCGGAAGCAGAGAACTCTGGGGTGACTTTGGTGCCATGGGTGTCTGCTACCAAGCCCAAGCTCAGCAGACGGCACCAGCATGCGATGGCCAGGATGTCTGACCATGCCAAGCTTGAAGCGTCCAAGAGTGACAAGTGCCAAAGAAAGTCACCCCAATTCATTGGCCGGACCACTTTGGCGGTGCTCTCCGTCAATGGGGACCTCATGAGGGCCGTGTGCAGCCTCGGACTGGCATGTACTGTGTGCAGAAAGCGGTCCTTGTCAACTCGCGTGGGTGTTTTGCTGCCACCTGCAGCGCAGTAGGTAAACATCTGAAAAAGTCGGCACAGCAGGTCGCGATCAAACTCCAGCTCATTGGCCATCCACCTGAGGCGCGGGTCGAACTCGGCTTCCCCACGCATGTCTCGGAACCGGAACCTGTCATCTCTGCCTTGTGCTGTGGGACTCTCTTTAATGCAACCCCCCCCCCTCCTGGAACAGTGGAACCAGTCAGCCGGAGCCTCTTTAGTTAAATCTCCTGGGCGTCTGAGAGGGACAGTGCTTGCTTCAGTATTGCCAATTCTACTTTAGTATTGCCAAGGCTGGCTCTCAGATCGCCAGTACTTACTTCAGTATTGCCAATTCTACTTTAGTATTGCCAAGGACCGTTTTTTCAGCAACCCCCGCTGGACACTAAAGGGGATCCCAAAACAGTCGCATTAAACAGGATCTGGGCCTCTTGTGGGCACCCCCCCTTTGTGTGACAGTTTGCCCGATTTTTTTTGTAAAGAAGGTATCTCAAATTTGATGATTTGGGGACCACTTCAAGAACAGGATTTCCCAATGTTTGCCAGGATTTGTTTGCCCGTTTTTTTGCCCAGATTTTTCCAGCGTTGTTTCCAGCAAAATACTTTCCATAATAGAGGACCCCTAAAACAGTCAAAAGATCCTGAAATGGAACAACAGCTTGTACAATAGAGGGAACTATTAATAAAGGAGGTCGAACATTAGATTTTTAGAGTCTCGCTTTGGCTTTGCAGCGAAGCTGTATGCTTTTCAAAATCCGAGGCGGAATTGGCTCACAAGTGCCGCATTTGAAACAGAAAGCCCGCTGTGTGCCATGTACCATACATGTCCGCTCCACCCCTCGGACACAATTCGCGGCATCCTGCCCCCAACCGCCCATCCCAACTCTGAGCTCCCGGCTCGATGGCCGCCCCTGGGGCATCCTCCGGGCTCACCGGGCAGTGGGACAAAGCCGCCATCCCCGCAGACCAAAACCACTCAGAGCCGCTGGGCCCTGCCCCCGCCACCACAGGCCCCAAAGGCCCCGAAGGCCCTGAAGGGACCGAAGGCCCTGAGGTCGGCATCGCCGGGTTGGAGTTCGGTCGGTTCAGCTCTGGGCCTCGAGACAGCATACGATGCTAAACGTCAATTGGGCCGTGGCATGAAGCCTTGGCTTTTGGGATCTGGGCATGCAGGTACTGCTTCCCTCGAATCATCAGGGGCCCATTGATTTGGGAGCAGGATACTTCCGGAAAGAAGACCACCAGTTCTTATGCACAACGGTCGTCATTGGCTAGAATCCACGCAAGAACTGCAACATTTCCTCTCAGGTTTCATGCCGCTGTACTCCTTGACAATAGGCACCACGCAGAGCTCTTCAATGTTGCTTGGCGGAGGCAAGCCAAAGAATCACCTGAAACTTTTGCCAGGGTTCCAACAAGGGCTAGCCAAAGACGAGTCCAACCCGCATGCAACAGGCCCCAAACGTTCGTAAGAGCCAAGCAGCTGATTCGGTTTGCCTCGATGAGCAGCCAGTAGAATCGGTCCCATGTAGTCTCCAAATTCTGACCCTGTGCCACCTGAGCCGAACGCGCGGCAAAGGGTACTTGGGCTGACCAGCGGAAGCCCCGCAGCAACCATGGCCAACATAAACAGGAGCAAGTTGGTCCATGCATGCCTCAGGAACATACCCCTAAAAGTTACTTAGGGGGAAACACGACCTGACCCAAGGAGCTACCTTGAATGGGTCAAGCATGGGATACAACATGCTCGAAACGCCGAACTGCCTTGGGCTGAGTCTAAGGTCGCTACGGAAACTCATACCCTCGGAGCTATGGCCAGATTTGGGCCAGTTGTTTCATTGTGCGCGTCATTATCAACAAAGCAATTCTGCTTTGCATTGCTTGGATTTAGAGGGAACCGCCGCCCAAAGAAACAACAACTCTACTCAAAACAGAGTTAAAGAAGCTGCAGATTTGAGACCCAGACCAAAGATCACAGCATGTCAAAGGTCCACATGTTGAAACCTTGCTTGAAAAGGTCAACGAAACAGCTCCAAAGCAAGAAAGCGGGGTTCCTTGCATTTATACCAACAAACACCCCACCCCACCCCCCAGCCCCCCCCCAGCAAAAAAGTTATGTTCACCCCACCAATTTGGGCGACACAGAGAGCCCTGAGCCCAGTTGCTCAGTTTAGAAAGAGCCCTTTTTTGCGTTAAGAATTGGGGAAACAACTCCGAGGTGCTACTAGGAGCCAGTTTTGATCACCTGCGGGCATTTCAAGCCATCGGTGGTTGAAAGCCGAAAGAACTGCTGGCCCCAATGCATCCGATTCCATAAACGGCCTGCTGGAGCAGCTGTTGCAACGCCGAATCCAACGACAGCTGGATGGAGCCGTCAGCCACCACTGGTCGCTCCAAAAGCCTGGCTCCAGGGTCCCTGAGTCAATCGCCCGCACCATCAATCCCAGCTGGCGAGTGGATGTCGTTCATGCACAGTATGTGAGTGTCTTGAAGGAACCGCTAAAACTGTGGCGTTCTCAATTGGTTTCCCGTTGAAACCCCCAAAAGCGTGCCCTCAAAAAAAAGCCCCCATGTCTCCTGAACAAATCCCGTTTGGGTCAACTTGCCAACTTTGGCTTTGGGGCAACCCTGGGTTGGCAGGTTCCTCGGCTCATTCCTACCAAGGGCGCGGAGGGAACCGCAGACTGGCGCATGTTTGCATTGGTAAATTTCAATGGGCATGGATCTTGCGGGAGGGCCTAGGCAAGGAACTCCACACCACTGGTACGCAACGGAAATTCCCGGGCCGCTCTATGCTCGCTGGATTTCAGGCTGGGGTCGCTGACCTAAGCTTCTTCCGATATAAGGGTCAATCAGCCTTGGCACCTCTTGAAACAATGTTGCAAAGCAGCCACTGCTGAAAAACAAGAAGTAGGAAGCAGCTCTCAAGCCACTGCTTGACAGTCTTGCTGGGCCTTGCTGGGCCTTCGGCCCTTCCGACTTAGTTGGTGATCCCTGGCAAGCTCCACTTGTAACCAGGTATGTCATAAACACCTCGAAACTCGAAACGTCTCAAAGTTTTGGGGGTCCGCCATGTCAAAAGAAAACCTCGGACTTGTGAACCGACATCACCAGCTTGCCAACCATCAGCCATTCTCGCTGTCTTGGGCTTTTATAAGTCCAACGCTTGCCAGAAAAAAAAGAGGTCGACAATGAAAGTTGCAATGATCACGCAAAGAAAAAGGGAGGCACTTCCTCACATCGGTGCGTCAGGTTTCGCTCGCTTGACAAGCGGTTTGAAGACATGCCAGCGGTTGGAAGAATCCCCTCAAAGAACGAAATGGCCACCGAAAAAAGCCGAGTCCACTGTTGCCAGCTTTTTGGCCACCAACACAACAGTTCAAGGGGAGCATGGGGCAGCCCGTGGAGCGAGGATCTGTTGTCAACAGATCCTCGCTCCACGGGCTGCCCCATGCTCCCCTTGCACCGAGTGATCCACGAGCCTCTCACCCCTGACGTGCACATCCCGGCGGATCTCTTCGATGAGTGATGCGGTGGAGACATTGCCCTGCCGCGCCATTCGTTGGTAGATTCCTTGGCACCGGGGGTCTGGATCCAGATGCAGAGTTTCGCCGCAAAAGATGGCAACTTTCCCCATCCGCTTGCCTAACCAGAGAAGGGCCAAGGCCTGTTGGGCTCTGCACGAAACGCATCAACAGCGTGGGTGCCCAAAAGCAAGTTTCAGTTCCCAGACTGTGCCTTTTGGTCACAGAAAGGCGAACCTTGATCCACCCTACCTTCTTACCGAGGAGGATCCCCACCCTATGACTACTTTGGCATGATCACAAGAGGACCCGCTCTACTCGCAGAAACTAACCACGTTCTCCCGCAACTCCCAAACATGGACCTCCTTTGGTTCTCCCAACCCCACCCCCCCCTATTCCCCCCCCCCCCAAGGAGAAGCCCAGGATGTACCCCTGCCAACCCACTTTTCCCAAGCCGAGCTTCGGTGCAGCAGTTCCCAGGCCTGAGAGCCCAGGGGCAATCTGCCGCTGCCACTTCTCGCCAAGCCGCCCATCCTGGCGTTTCCGGGACCCGACCCCACGAAATCGGCCGTGCGGTGTACCAGCTGCAAACGGTTCCCTGAAGGTTGGGCTCGGGTTACCAAAGCTGACGGGTTTATAGAGGTGATTATCCCACAAGTGAAGGGCCTTGTAAAATGACCCCTGGGTGACCATTAATGTTGATGGTGCTCGAAAGGGCTCCCCAAGGCCCAAGAATTGAGACTCTTTGTCCGTTGATGTCTCCCTCAGGCCAACTGCAAGCTCATCCAGGGGTGAGCTCATTTGAAGCCCCGTTGAGCTTTCCAGAACACATGATACTTTCACGTTCGCCTAACAAATCTTCTTTTCTTTTTGTTTTTCTCGACTTTCGGGAGACTTCCCAATGAGACCTGACATCTTGTGTTGACCGCTATTTTTGGGGCGGAGCTTCCCACACAGAGAGTTTCGGGATTCCCCACCTGGCAACTTGTGTTGACCACAGAAAACGGGGCTTCTCCAAAATGCCCGGCTTCCGAGAAAAAAAAAAACAAAAACATGGAGCCCTGGACGCCCAGTTCGCCTGGGGCTGGGTGGCCGAACGTCGTGGCTCGGGCTCGGCCGGTGGCTCGGGCTCGGTGGCCGCGGGCCCGGGCCCGGGCTGGGGCTCCGGCTGGGAGCTCGGGGGCTCGGCCTGGCCAAGTCTGAGTGGACCACAAATCCACTTCGCACCTGAGAAGGTTGAAACCCCTGGTTTTTGGGCGGGGTTTACAGGGGAAGAAGCATTTTTGGTGGGTTTCTTAGGTGGTGGGACATGGAGTTCCTCCATCCACTCTACGGGCCCCCTTTCATCTTGGGGACAAGGCTAGTTGCATTCTCTCCTCTTGCGGCTGTTCAATTGCTTGCTGCCATGGCCGTTTTTCCCGTGAAAAGAAGCCGCAGGGTTCCACGGCCATAGCCTTCGAACGTGATTTCGCCCACATGTACGCCCACATGAGGGCAGAAACCTCAGCGCAAGCTGGACAGGCAATGCTAACTCTTGTTAACACAGTGCAATTTGTAGCAATACTGCAGAACCCTCCCAGAAACAAACATGAACCTGCACGGATCTGCACGGCCTACGCTCATTCCCCAACCTTTGCAAGACAGCCGATGGCCTGTGGGTTGGCGCGGCGCGTTCCTCCTCCTCGCTGGGGAAGAGGCGGTCCAGGTTTTCCAGCAAATCCTGGCAGGGGCGTCCCTTTTTGGGACCAGCTCAGCAAATTTCCACAAGGGAAACCCATTTTCACAAGAAGATACGCACTCCTTGTAAATTCTACCCCCTTTTAACCATCAACCCACCGCAAGGAACATACATGTTCCTCACCATCAACCCGGCTTGTATCTTCAAAACTGACCCAACATCTGACCGCTCCTGGCGTGCCACGAAGCCAGAGCCGTTCAGCTCCATGTCCCTGCCCAAACTTCGGTAACTCATGGAGCTTCGGTGAACGGATCTCCGAAGGGGGTGGAAATGGACCGAAGGGAACGGGTCAACATTAAACCAAAAGGAAATGGACCGCAGGTTTTAGTCCATGTTTCCATTTACTAGGGTTTATTTTTGTGCGCCTTTTATTTTTTGACCCACTGCCAAATGGAAACTCGGGTGGGTTCAAAAGGAAAACCGTGTGGTCCACAAGTGGGCAAAGTGGGCTTAAGACTTGACACTTGGATGGGTTCACAAGGAAAACCGTGCTGAAACAAACGATATCCCAACATGCCTGTATGATGCTGAGCCTTCAGCCGCATGCCTAATGCCGCGTGCCTTAGAACATGACGGGGTAAGCAGCAACACAAGCTTCGCAACAAGCCGAACCGCGATACTCGACGCTTTCCAACTCAAGCAGGTAACAAATCGGCCCTCTCCTTCGACCATTCCAGTCGTTTTTATTGACTAAACATGCGTAATTATAAGGCAAGCTGTGTGCGTGCGTTTGCTGCTGAAAGCTCACAGCTGAACCACTCAACCCCCCCGACCCGGCCTTGCAAAAGGCCCCCCCCCCCCCGCCCGCCTGAAGATCTGCTCTACCAGTGAATCCTCACCCGAAATCCCGGCCGCCATGAGCATTGACCGAAGTTGCTCGCGTGTCAGAAACTCAGGCAGGGGAGCTGACGGCGTTGGTCGTGGCGCGGCAGTTGCCTCTGGATCGGCCCTCCGACGGCTGGGCGATGGAGATCGGCGGCTGGGTGACGGAGAACGGGAGGAACCTGAGAGAGAGCAAAGCGCACCGTCAGCTCTCACAGCAAGTTGCATTCTGCTTGGCCACGGACAAGGGCGTCCACTTGTAAAAACCGGTGGGTGTCCAACTTACCATAGACAAGCCAGGCCAAGCCCAAGCACGCAAACTCTTGCAGCCATGTTCAAACCTGTTGGTGCTTGACCCCAACTCGCCTCTGTCTCCCAGGGCAGCCGCCAGTTCCTGCAAGGAGACCAGCCTCTTCCCATCTTGATCCAAAAGCCTCACCACCTGCCGGCAGAGTTGGCCGAAATTTGCCTAAGCAACCAGCCCTGGGTCTCTTTCCAAGGAAACCAAAAGGAGGCTGTTTAAACAATAGCTGCTTTTAAATGTGCAAATCAGGGGCCCCCCCAACATCGCCCAACCCTGCCTCCCGAACAGTGGCATCGTCCAACTCGAAGCCCAAGTCGTTCAGCATGGAATGGAGCCTCACCCGTCCAAGCGACAACCGGCCTCAAATAAAGGATCTTGGGAGGCCATGAGCAAAAGACCACATTGCAAAGATGTCTGCCAAACAACTGGCGTCAAAACCTTAGGGCGAGGGGTTGAGGCGTCTGACAAATCTGTCGGCCGCTCCGCGCTCAAGGCAGTGGTTGCACCGAGCTACCCCCTGAGGAGCACACCCTCAACACATTTCCCTGCTACCCACATTTCGCGAAAACATATGGAATCGGAAGGCCTAGCTTGTGCTAGCACCCGCCCCTTTTACATGCATGAATATAACGGGCTGAATAATTGTGCGCATTGTCCTCTTGCGGACATGGCGTAATTTGGGCTTAAAGCCCCCCAACAATCCCAGCCTTATGGTTCGCGACGCTGAGCCCAAACCAACATCCGACACATGCCCCTCGTGGCTATAAGGGCGTCCGCCTGTGAGAGTAATCTAGAGAGATCTGCTGTCTTTCCACCAACCTTTGTTGCTACCACCATTGCGTAACAAACCCCCTTTGACCTTCCCTCTGAATTGAACCGTCTGATTGTTCAGTAACATTTGCCCGACCCTGATGGGCGTTTCTCAAAATGGCTTATGACCACCTCTTAGTAAAGGAAAATTAAAAGGACACCGTCGCCATTTTAGGGGACGGATTCCTTCTTTCGAGAAACGCTCATATGGATGTGTATATCTGTGTGTCTGCGTGTCTGTGTTTGAAGGTACCCTCTTTAGAGTGGCTCTAAGTTATTCTTTTGGAACCTATTCATCAACTGGGGTTGATAAATATGGGATGAACATGACTTGCCTCACACCACCCTTCAGCTCCATTTGAAATGGTCGATCCCTTCCTGCGAGCAGCTCTTTGGCCGTGACCATGTCATCCCCGTTGGAGTCGTAGCTCCGCACCAGCGTCGAGGCCGAGAGGTGCTTCCGCTGCTTCACCGCGCGCAGAGCGCGGAGCACCTCCCAACAGCGGGTCGGTGACATGAAGGGAAGTCAATGGAAACCAAGTAAACTACTATTACATGATATAATTTACTATACCATGACAAATTGTGACAAAACATTATACTATTGATACAAAATAATAAGCTAAGGGACACCAACATATAGGGGGTTCCTTAAAGGATTTGGAACTTACACCCCACCTCTAGCAAAGAAGCGAAACTTGACAATCGCCTGAGGCTCATCGGAGCCTGACTCGGAGTCGCATGATGTGTTTGCTCATGGGTTCCCATGGGGGCCGCATGGAAATCTCATTGGAGTGTGAGAAGCCCAGGATGTCCACAAGACTGATTTAGCTTTCAGCAATGCTAAGCCAATACTAAATTGCACAAACAAACACAATGATTGAGGGAGTGGCCCATTTGTTTTGAAGAAGCCATGTTGACCCGACTGACCTTGATGTGGGGGGAGGGATCGCCCCTCTGTCCGGAATCTAGCAAAGGCCTCAGTGGATACCTTCTGTTTGACGGGTGGGCATGGCCAGAACACATGTTCTACGAACAGACCTGGATGGAATTCACGGACATATTCATCCGCCAAGATACGTGTGGTGATTTAACGGGGGAGGCCTAACATCATTTCCCATCACAAAGCTACGGATTGGTTTTGCACAACCCGGTCAAACCACAATGACTCCGATTTTGCGAACTCACCTCGACGGGCGTTGGCTCCAGCACATGCCACAGCTCCGTCCAGGTGATGCGCCCATTGCCGTCCTTGTCCATGAGCCGAAAGAGCTCGTGCACCAGGCCCTCATCCGCCTTGATCCCAGCCTGCTGCGACGGAAAACAGCGCAAGGTCCGCAAAAAGTTGCTGCCCCGCAAAGGGGTGCTACTGGACGGGACACTGCAGGGTGTGCTTCCAAGTGTGGTTTTGAAAAGGCACCCGACCTCTAAGGGCTCGTGTATTGTTTTGAGAAGATCGTTTCAAGTTTCAATATTTAATGTGACAGTGGCCAAGCAGCCGCCACCAGCAGCTTGTACATCTCGCTGGGGGAGAGCCTCCCATCTTGATTGAGGTCTCCATAGGCGCGGAGGTCGTTGATCGACAAGCCCCTGCGCAGGCGCAACGTCCGCAGCCGACTCAGCACCGCTGCCGGGTCTGAGGAATCTCGGGCGGACCAGTGCGTCGGAGAGAAGCTGCGAGAGAGCTCGAAGTCATGGAGGATTTCATCCAGAGCTGGTTGGCCATGTGCCATTTCCTGAAAAACAGTGCAGGATAGCGCAGGTGCTTACTTTAGACAAAATCACGAAGCTCTGCAGCTCCTTGCACAACCTGTCTGGTTCGGGAACCCTTACTTTTGCAAGTGCCCAGGTACAGTGAAAAAGCCACGTGCATTGAACACGAATGAATCCCGGCGACACCTCTGAACACACTGGGCTTCTTGCTTTGCGCGCGCCGGCCCAGAAACAAGCTGCAATGGCCGGCTATCATCTTTGTTCTGCTGAGTCGCAGGCACACGCACACAGCAAGCACACAGACACAGACAGACACAAACACAGACACAGATACACACACAGACAGGCATAAGCAAACACACATACACAAAACACACACACACACAATCACACAGACACAGGCAAACACACACAGACACAAACAGACGCACACAAACAGACACACACACACACAGACACACACAAACAGACACACAGACACAAACAGACGCACACAAACAGACACACAGACACACAGACACACAGACACACAGACACACAGACACACAGACACACAGACACACAGACACACAGACACACAGACACACAGACACACAGACACACAGACACACAGACGCACAGACACACAGACACACAGACACACAGACACACAGACACACACACACAGACACACTCACGCAGACACACACACACACACAGACACACACACACAGACACACACACACACATACCAGACACAGACACGCCCACACAGACAAACACAGACCAGACACAGACACACACACACACAGACACACAGGGACACACACACACACACAGAAACACACAGACAGACACAGAGACACACACACACACTTTCTATTTCCTTCTCTCTCTCGCTCTCTCTCTCGCCCTCTCCCTCCCTGACACGCATACGGACTTGCAAGCACACACGTACATGGCCTACACACACCTGCGTTCTACACACACACACACAAACACACTCAAGTTGCTTGCGCACAGTCGCGCAAACAAACAAACAAACAAACAAAGAAACAAACAAAAAACAAACAAACACATCCACACACACAAACACAACCACAACCACGAACACCAAATCCAAACTCACAAGCACAAACACAAACAAAACCCAAACGCAAGCACCGGCAAAAGCGCGGTCACACACAGACACACACACACACACAGAGACACACGAAGACACAAAAGCACAAGAACACACAGACACACTCACCCATGTTCCACACACACACACACATGCTCGCACCCGCATTTACACAGCTGCACATGCACGCACGCAAACGGGCATGAAGGCAGTCTTGACCTCGGCTTGGAACGTTGCATTTCGTTGCGTCACATTCCATTTCATTGCCTTGCAACTCATTGGCTTATAGACCTGTTATTCATGGTTTACATGACATCAAACAGCACAGCATCACAAGAAATGCATACTGCACCAATCCAAAAGTTTGTGGGGCCCGGGAAAAGGCCCTGGCCGTCCACAATGCCGACCCAGAATTAATCAACCTGGTTGACTCACAGGGGGTTGCTCCATCTTCAGCGGAATGCTGAATTTTTGAGGGGAATACCCTGCTGGATTCATCCAGGTTGATGAACCCTTGGCCATTGAATTTCCAAGACTCAGCAAAAGTGCAGACCCGGCCTGCAGGGAGCTGGTGGGAAGTTGCACTGCCTCAGGCCTCCGTGGCAACGTCGCTGACTGGCTCAAGTCCAACGGCGCCACCCGCCCGGACGGCGAACTCTGAAGCTCGCCAGCTCGCAGACCCTGGCCGTCCCCCTGTGGCAACCCACCTTGGCTTCTCGACATGCTCCGCCTCCACAGGCAGGACCCCACAACAAAAATAGTGCCAGTGCTAGTGGGCATAAAGCCACGCAAAGCTCAGGCACATGTGCTTCAGTACACATCCAGAAAGACGTTGGCAACAAGCGTTCTGAGATGTACTATGATGTACTGCATATACATAGCAATTTGCCAAAAGAGCTCAACTATGTACATGCAATTGCACGCATACACACGCTCACTCTCACCATCCCGCACTTGCATTGCAAAATCAAAAGCAAACGCCATAGCAAAACTGCGTGTCACAAGACACACCGATTTCTGGAAACTGCAGCAATGGCACCCGAGGGCAAGTCAGGGGTGCTCTCTTTTGGTCCTCCTGGCGGGGGCGCCGCCAGGTCTCGCCAGGGATCATCCCGCGGAAACGTTGCCTGCGGCCAGGGTTGGGACTTCTGTACACAATGACCTTCACAACCCTTGATATGGTTACCCCAAAAATGCCTTCTGCGGCCCCCTACTGAAAATCAACAGAACCAAAGACCAAAAACACTTATCAAGAACAGTGAAGTGGCGCATGTCTAACCAGAAAGCAGCTTGAGTAAATACGAGGCGTTGGAGCCCTGCTTAAAACCAGGCCTTGCGCCACCCCGCCTGCGGCGGCAGCTTCTGAGCCACCGGTCCTGTACCTGGCCGGCTTGGGATCGGTGTGTAAGCCAGGTACGGTTGGGAGAAAATCGAGGGCGGAGGTTCCAGTTTGGCCAACCCTTGAATGGAAACTTGCTTGGCATTCAAGCCAACCTTCCTGCTCGTTTCTTCGCACCGCTTTGCCAAGAGCATGAGCTTTAGCAACATGCCATCAGCGTCATGCTCAAAACATCATTGGCTCAACTCTTTTGCAAAGCGCATGCCTGGCCGTCCATATCGCCCCAAACTGGTGGTGCAACTTTTAGGGGCCATGCGCTGCTCAAATCAAGGCGTCATTCGGCACAAGTGGGAGCGTTGGATCCTAAGATCCGCCGCCTGAAAGCTCGGCCAGCGCTTGTTCCAAGCTTCTGCGCGTGACCTGCTTAGAGCCGTCCAGGTCGATCTGCCGCACCACATCCCGGACCGTGGCGTCGTCCAGATCGAAGCCCAGGCCATCCAGCAACCTACGAATAATATGGCCTTTGGATCCGGAATTCGCTCCATCGTTCGGAGTCTTTTGGATTTCCCATACCTCCACAAGCTATCAAACGGTTAGATTGTGTTGCAGGGGGGGGGGACTCACTCCAGATGAGACGCCATTGGCTAAACACATAATTTCACCACCCACTTGCCAGTTGACCTGGTAGAAATTGGGAACCGTTTTGCGGTGACCATGTTTCGCGGGGAACCAAATCCTACCAAAACTTGACAAAGGTGCCACTGAACAAGTGGGATCATTTTCAAAGTCACCCGTACGAGACAGGTTGACAACCTCCAGTGGCAGTCGAAATCATTACACCAGGCCGCAATGTTGCAGGCGCAAAGACAAATGCAAGTGACCCCTTGCACGTTACCATGGCCGAAACATGCAAAACTGATGAGATGCCTTTGGGGCTTCTGCCACCTGGAAGCGCGCAGATTTTTGTGCATTCTGGGGCTGATGAAACAAAACAGCAGTCATGGTTACCTGCTTGCAATGTCCAGGAAAACCACTCATAGCACCACTTTGATTCTACCAAGGCCATGTGGGGCGTTGTCGGTAGCCTCAACACCAAGGCATTATGGCAGCATTGAGGGCGAGATGAGCTCTCTTCTCTGCCACCCTTCTGCTTGAAGAGACCGCTTGCAATCACAACGCAGCCTCAAACACAGCCCCAATAGGCTGCAATTTGCACCTAAAAGTCAGATACGCTTTGTGAGCCTCGGAGAGGCTCAGTACAGGGTGTGGGCGTGGATGTGGGAGACGTGACAGGATGCTGAAGATGCTGCGGTTGTTTGAATTAATGTTGGGGATTTCAGTAAAGCAGGGGACGGTTTGAATGCCCGTACCTGGTAATACGTGCGTCATCATGCTACAATGCAGGGGATGTAAGCTGGGAATGCTGGAGGTGCTGATGGCAACGGGTTGCCACGAGCAGCGTGCTGGAGTTGATGCTATGCGGTTAAGGTGTGGAGGACGCGGGGGATGCTGGGGATGGTAGGCTGGGCATTCTAAATTTGGTCATTGGCATTGGTCCAGTCCTCTTTTTTGTGCTGGCCAGCGCGTGGCCCAATGTTGCCATTTCTTGGCGGCCCTTAACGGCGGATCACGCAAATGGGGTCTGTCAGGCAGTGTCGGGCAATTTGGGGCGGTACTGGGTGACTGTTGAATCTCAAAAACTGGCTCTGCATACTTGAGACAACATGCAGTCACCCAGGGGCTATCGCGGTCTGAACGCATTATGGAGCAAAAGCCGAGGCAAGTTCAGCCAAATTCGGGCAATCACATGCAAAACCATTGCAACACAGCTCATATCCGTCGTCAACGGGCTTAAATGGGCAGATTTGAAATTGCCCCCAAAACTGCTCTGGCAAGTTTGGGCAGTGTTGGGCCTTTTACAAGAAACTATAAATCAACAGCTATGCAACAACCTCGCTTGTTTTCTCACAATCCTGGTTGAACACCTGACTAGTCAGTGGCTAGCGCAAGCTGACGTGGATGTCAAATTGGGCCCGTAGTTTTGCATTAGGACCATCCCACTCCTGTCCTGGTGGGTTGTCAACAAACCTCATGTGGTGCAGTGACTCGCTGAGGAAAGCAGCGCCACACAATTGTCTGGGCACATTGCCATAATCATTCACAAAACGCTCTGGCCTCGGGCATCCAAGTGAGTGACTTTCCGGACATGGGTGAGCTCGTTGAATAGCCCGAAAAAAACTCATTCTAGAAACGCGCCTGTGAAACTCCCCGGGCGTAAGCACATCATCCGCATTGGCGTCGTGCTTCCGGATCAGCTCCGGCACTGAGATGTGCCTCCAGGACCCGCCCCTCTCGCACGTTCGGCCATGCCCTAAGTGACTTCAACCTCGTTGCTTCAAGTCTGTAAAAATGACGACCCTGGTGTCATTTGATTTGACACTGCCCTTAAGCCCCTCAATAGGTCCGTTTTCCAGAGTGGGTGCAAAAGGAATTCTCGGCCAAGAAGCCAACCACCTCGCAAACCTGAAAACAGACATCCCTAAAAGGACCTTCACCTTCATGGGAATCAACCGACTCCTCCATGCCTCCTGACGATGGCGACCCGCAGCTCTGCAAGAACTTCCGAGGCGGAGGGCGTCATGGCGTTCCACAGCTCCGACCAAGAGATCTTCCCGTTGCCGTTGTGGTCCATGAGGTTGAAGACCTCGAAAAAGCTCGTGAAACCATGAAAGTCAGCGAGCACTCCCACATGTACAGAAATTGGTTTCTCTGCGATGGTACTACCCCCTCCTTTGAGACTGGGGCACCCCCTTGCCGAGAGAGACAAAGCTGTCTCCCGTTCCACTGCCACATTTGGGTGTTTGGCTGCCAGCGCGCCTGAACAAGAAGCTCGTCATCCACAGTGAGGCCAACCTGAAAAGCAATCACATGGGCATGTGACAAAATCAACAGCTTCTGTTGGCGGTTCGATTCCTTTTGGCTTTCTTCAATGCCACCAGCCAAAGGTCCCGTCTTGATACATCCACATGGCTTTCAATATGGCTTACAAGCCTTGCCCTTTTGAACGGAGTGTTTGCCAGTTCAATTTGCTCAAACTCATGCTGGGATCGATGTAGGTACCATCGGCAAACTTAGCATCCCCCCCTCCCACAACAACACCATAGCAAGAAGCTCGAGATTACTTCTGGGGACAAAGAACGGCTGCCCAGAAGCCTGACACAGAAACTCATCTCACTTGCTCTCATGCACCAAGTGAAAGGCATCCGATTTTTAGTGCCTAAGCCGGCTTCAAACCTATGCTTCTTCCTCAAGCACCCCCGCAAAGTACCCACAATACACAACAACTTACATTGCAGTCTGTGCCTTCAATGCACAGCAGCATCGGGGACATAGACTCTGAACCCAACAGCCAGGGGCTCAAACAAGCGTTTGCTTGATTTTTGGGTTGCTGCCCGCACTTCCCCGCATCACACACCCCAAGCAAGCCATCGGAAGCCCCCATCATGTAAAACCTCAACCGCATGAACGTGCAATGGCGAGCGCCTGTTGGTTGACGTTTTTGAACCTGAAAGCGCAACAAACCACAACTCAGACGCCCAGCAGCCATGGGAAAGAAAGGGCATCCTTTTGTGGCTGCTTGACTTTAAAGGGGAACCCTTCCCCAAGACTGAACAAAAAGGAAGCAACCCGCTGGGCCTTGGTCTATCTTAATTTCCAGCTTAGGCGAGCAGAACCCGAGCCATTCCCATTCCTTCGCTCTAGTCCCAAAAAAAATCGATACCTTCAGCGTACATTCTAGCATTGAGCAGCCCAATGTCTTGATGTCCATGTCGTGGCTAGCTTCAGTGAGGTCGGGACGCGAAGAGCATACCCAAAAAATGAAACGCCAAGTCTTTGGCTCACCACAAAAAATGCCCTTCCCAGGGCTATTCCCACGAAACACAAGTCCAAAAGCCTGCTCCCCTCCCCTCCCCTCCCCCTCCGCCCCTCCCGGCCCCTTCCCCTCTCGCACCTCCGCCAGCAAGTGCCGGAGCTCTGCCACCGTCAGCTTGTTGTCACGGTTCAGGTCCCCCAGCGCCTGCACGTCCGCGATCCGCAGGCCCCGCTGCAGCCGCAGGCGCCGGAGCCGCGCCAAGACCTGCGCTCAGACTCTCAGGCCACCCCGGTCAGGCCCCCGAATTTTCAGCTCTGGTTAGCTCGGTGGTTTGGTTAAGGAGGGGTGTCCCATCCCTCTGAAGCATCCAAACCACCAACCAAGGGTTACTTGAAATTTCGGGGTGAAGGTTTTGGAAGCTCGGTACCCCTTTTGGTTGGAACAACAAGCCTGTTCAAGTAGGTTGCCCATTGGGTTTGTTTTTCTTGGTTTGCCTTTCAAGGGAAGGCCTGAAGAAACAAACGATTTGCGGGGTTGCCCAGTTTTGAGAAAACGTGACAAACCCATTCATGCGGCATGCCACCAAAAGGAAGCCCAGCTCTTTTGGGGTTCGATAAGTTTGCCAATAAGAAGGGCAGCCTTCGCCGGAGGTTGCTTTTGTTACATTACGTATGGGAAGTAAAGGGCCTTCTCTGAATTGAAGCACGCTAGTATTGTGTGGAATCCTCTTTTAGGGTACCTTCTTAACACAGCCGTTTAAGATGTACGAGGTTCCATGTCATACATTCAAACATTTACCCGGCCGACCCCTCCAAAGTTTACGTTTGAACTTCCCTGTGCCATTCCACTGGCCAACATATCGAAAACGCAGCCATGCTTGGAGGCGGAGAGCATCCTTTTATTGTCACCTTCTTTCTCAAGCAGGGTGGAGAAAGGTAAGCCTTGCCCGACACCAGCAATCAACTACCAAGAATATTATTGCCCATTGCCCCAATGCCTAATTGACCTATTGAGAAACTCTCGGACGCTTTCACTGATGCAAACTTGTTACAGGGCATCTTGGGAGACTCTTGGAAGGAGATGTCCAAAGTGAAACCTTAATTGAGGCAAGGATGGTTGGTACGTGAACCACGCCTACTCCCACCTGAGTAGAGGTAAAGGGCTTAACTGAGCTTTCCAAGAGTGGCCTTTCATGTTGCCACCAGATTTGGGCAAAAGGATTGAACGATTCCACATCACCCTGACTTCAAGAGCAAGTCCATACGCGCAACTCTGCTGGCCAGTTGTGGCGTTTTCTCCCCCCCCCCCCCCTAAGCGCTGCAAGTTAGCATGCACGGATTGACATCATACAATTCTGCAAGCGCGAAAGCTGTAGGTCACCAGTGGCAGACATTCAAATGGAACTGGTGAGGTTGGATGGAACTAGTTTCAGCTTAAAGGTGCTTGGTGGCTTGCTTGCCTTTGTTAAGTTTCACTTTCATGGTTAGGAGCTCGTGGCGACTGGTTTGGGGCCTCGGTGGCCAGTGGCCTCCTTCCATGCTTCCGGTCCCCGCGCCATTGGCTAACTTGGCGCGGGGCCAACAAGGGGTGCAGGACCCCATGGAATTTGGGGCTTGGTAGCGCGTCCCAGGGCAAGCCATCATACATGTGGCACTTGCAGGGCCGCCAAAATCACACCCGAAAAACAAGCAACACCACGGAACACATACGGAACACAACAGCACCTGGCTGTTTGTTCGTGACACGGTCGCGTGGCACGACAGCTAGCCGTGAAGCTGGGCAAACCTGAAATGAAGAATCCCCAAGGAAGGGGCCTTCATGGGTGAGCTCGTTGAAGCCCCAGGTGGCCTCGTGTGAATTGGCCCAGATTCTTGCCACGGAAGATGACGCAAGGTGGTTTCAATGTTTAGCATGCCAACGCTCTAAATGCACACCTGCAACATGACCTCCCATCCATCCCGCTCAAGTCAGCCGTGCCTCGTCTGGCAATCGCGGCCCTGGCGCGAGTGTCCCAGATCTTGAAGCCCTCAAGTCCTGCTGACCGAAGTCTGTCATAATCTCCTGCAGGACATCTGGCAGGTACCCGCTCTGCCCGTGCAGCGCTGCCTGGCTTTGCTGGCTTTCTGGCTCCGGCGCTTGCGGAGCTTGCGGCGCTTGCGGCGCTTGCGGCGCTTTGGGCGCAGCCGGCCGGCCCGGGCTGCGGCCCCTTTGGTCCCTGCCGGCCTCCGACCTCCGCCGTCCGCAGACCCGACAAAAGACGGAGTCCGCGGTGAAGGTCGTTCCGCAGCTACACCGCGCCTCATATGAGCCAGCTTGGCTTGAAAAGCATGGCACAGGAGCGTCAGAGAATTTGATGAGTTAGCGCTGTTTGCTGTACATCAGTCACTAGGTTCTACAACGCATTCATTACTCTGATTGCATGTATTGCAGAACATGATGCTGACACATTAATGTACAAATTGAGGTCCTCCTAAGCCTCTGCACAAAGTTGTTGTTTCTGGTAGCTGGGTCGCGTTGCAGTTGGCCGCTGAAATAATAAAAAGAAGCCATGGAAACACTAGCCATGAGGCAGGGGCAAACACATGGTCAACATGAATCGTCCGCCAAAGGGAGGCAAGTTCAAACATGTCCTCAAAGAGGTCGCCAAACGACTAAAAGGGTCCATGTTTTTGTTTTGAAATGATTAAATAGGGAAAAAACAAGGGGGCCAAAGTAGCCTCAAGAGGTCCATTTAGGACTAGAGCCCATCATGACAGGCCTGACGTGGCTGCCCTCCCGCGGCGGATGCCGGGCGTCGGGGCGCTGCCTGCCGCGATGAAACCGGCGCCAGATTTTCGTGGCGGCTGGATGTGGTTCACTTGCTATTTGTTGCGTGCGTCCACCGAACGCTTGTGCTTTTTGGGGGGGTGAAAAGATGGATCCCGCTGTGAAGTTCAGTTATACCTTCAACCCGAACTGACAATGCCAAAGAACACCCATGCCAACAACGCATCCACTTTGCATGGTCTGTATTGGTTGCAGGTGCGTGGTTGAGAACTTGCGTACTGCGTGGGTGGCTGTGTCCTGCAATGCTTTCCCAACTGGCTTTCGTGCCAACACTAGCGCAGCACCGTTGTGAGAATAATTCTAACCTCTAATCATTCGGCAGGGTTCCTAGTTTGATATGACACGGCCATTTGCTTGCTTCTGGGTGCCCAGACCATCCCGGGCAAGTGACCGGGCCCCAAATGGGCATCTGGGATTTGCTTGAGTTGCGTGCTGCGGTGAATGCTGGAAGGTCGTTCTTGTCTTACAATACGTAGGCGGCCAACCATCGCATGGCCACTTCAGCTCGGCAAAGACATTATCCACAGTACTGCTGACCCCCAGACTTGTAAACGCATCCTACTATATAATAGGCGGGTGTTCCCCTCCGAAAGTGATGATTCTCCACTGAACCAGGGGACACCCCGTATTACAGTGGTTTGTTAATACGGAGTTCCCATGAGCGTGCCCACCATTGCCAATTGCCCGCAATTGATAAAGCTGGAGGCTTCTTGGTTGGCAATGCGCATCATGCGGCGCATGTTGCTTGTGACTGGGGAGAATCAACGTTCATTATCTTTCATCGATACTGCACATGTTGCCGAAGAACTTAAATTAACACATGGTGGGAAAAGTCAGCAGGTGCACAAGCTCCACACCAAAGGGAAGCCGTCGCTGCCAATCAAACAGCACCCGCCACACTTCGAACCCTCTGTATCTGTATGAACTGTAGCTATCAAATCCGTGTGTTCTACTCCATGGTTGCAGCTCGCTTTGGCCACTGCAAATTGCCACTGTTTGCCGCAACTCTCGTCCTACTACTGATGCGCGCCAGCTGCAGGATTCTTCTGGGGAGGGGGCTGCGCCCATTGCCCGCCACCCCCACCCCCCATCCGCACCCGCCTTGGCCGCCCGCTTTGGCGTGCGCCCAACGCCCCGCGCGGCGCGGGACGCGAAGGGCGCGTCGGTGCCCTCCACCCGCAGTTCTCGGCTTCGCTCGTACAGCCGCTCCGCCGAGCGAGCGCGGGAAGCCGAAGTGGGGCGCCAGGCCATCGTGGGCCACGCGCGAGGGTCCCATGCGCTTCGACAGTAGGGGGTTCTTCCAGCAATGAGTGAAAGGCGCATGCAAATCTGCCTGCTGCCTGAGCAAGGTTTACAAATGCATCTTGCCGAATCCAGGGTGCCTGTTCGAATGAGGAGCTACTGCACTGAGGTTACAAACTTCTGGGGTCTACTTCGGTTGCCAGCTAATGATGCCTCTGCTTGCAATGTTCTTTTGACGGGCAAATTTTGAATTGCCGATTATCCGATTCACACACCAACATGCGGAATCTTGTCTGCATAGCCATTGGGTAATTTCCTGCATGTGGGCTTGACACGGTGGCGCGCACCATCTTTGCTACAAGGAGCTCTTACGGCTGGCTCGAGTGCCAACGTATGCGTCTGCCTGACAGCCAGGCTTCTTGGGGCCGGCTGACTCCACCGAGATGCACCGGCGCCGCGCGCAATCAACATGTAAGCAAGTGGGATAGTGGGATAGCATGTTAAGCATCACCAAAAAGAAACAACCATCTCTCTCTCAGAATTTTCCAAGGTGCAACTCATGTCCCACTAAAACCCCCAACCCTTGGATAACTAACCACATGAACCCCTCATGTTCCGCATTGCTCCGCACATTTTCCTCCATGAATTCACGTTTGGAGGCCCCGTGGCCCACGAAGGCGCCCGCCAGCTGGGCGCCGGAAACGAAGCTCAGCCGAAAAGTCACCCGGGCGCGCAGCCGCGTGGCGGCCGGTGCCTCCAAGAGGTGCCCCAAGCCGTCCTGGGTCGATATGCAGGGGAGGCGTCCATGTCCATTCTTTGCAGGGATCCGAGCCTTTTCAGGAAACCCTCAAACATTTTGGGGAAGCAGCTGGTGTTTGAAAGATGGTTGAAAAGAATGGGACATCAACAATTCTAGAGCAATTCTAGTGTGCTCCATGGATGGGAACAACAGCGATGCATATCATTGCAGCATTTCATTAAACAAACACACACACACACGCACAAAAAAACACGCGCATGTAGAAGGTGTTACTTTGCAACAAGCATCGCCCTCTAAGTCCAAGTGGTCGGTCAAGGGGAGCGGCCCGAGCGAGGCGTCCGGCAACAGCTGCTTGGTGACGAAGAAGCCCAACGACCCCCGGAGCACCAGCGGCTCTGCCCGGACCTCTTGCCCACCTAGCATGACTACTCGTAACCCACGCTCGGATAGCCAGCAACACCCAAAAACGAAGACAAACATGGGTGTGAACGTTTAATTGGAGCCCCTTTGGTGAACATCATTCGGATTTCGAATTTGGGGGGGCGCCCTGTTTCGCCTTGCGGGGAACATAAACAGCACAGGCTCATAAAGGCTGCTCCATCCCAAACAAAACCCTTCTTGGTACCCACCTGCGTAGAGAGAGAGAGAGGGAGAGAGAGAGAGAGAGAGCGTGTGTGCGTGTGTGTCAACTAGGGGACGCCAAACATGGCGTCCCCTTTTATGTTTGGCGTCCCCTTTTGAGTTCGCTTTGAACCAACCTAAAACGGGTACCCCGAGAAAACGTGGACGTCGGAATCGGCAACGAACCAGGGATTGGACAAATTGGCTGGGCTAAAGGTGTTGGGTGCGAGTGCTTGAGTGCCAAAAGCGTGCCATGGGACCGAAAGCAACCCAAACCTGCTTCCACAACGTTGTTTGGAGAATTCACGTGGGCCATATCACAAACTGTCAAGCGCAACAAACTGCCTTTCTGGCTTCGAAAGGACACACCTTCATGAACCCAACATGGTATCCACATACTTCCATGTATGTTGCGCGTGCCCCCTGACCGACCGGTACAACCAGCCGGCTCTTCAAACACAGGTCGCCTTGCTTTAAGGCGGCGAGGCATGGGAGAGCCGGCGCGGCCAAAACTCGCCTGCAAGCGCCGAATGGGTCCCGAGCAATTCGCCGACCGGTGCGAAACGCGAGGACTACGAGCTTGCTTTTGCATCCGTGGTTAACATATCTACACCATGCGACAAAACATATAGACACACATACTCTATTCCCGTGGCCATGATTGAATGGGGCACGCCCTGGGCTCGACTGGCTGAAATTCAGAAAATCCATTCCAAAGAGATCAGCTTACTGCGCTTTCTGATGATTTGGGCTGGCATGCTACGTAACAGAGATCCCGGAACGTTGGTCTATAATTCCTTCGGAACAACGGACTCCCCAAGCACCGGGTCAAACGGGGGGGGGGGAAAGGAGCTGCCCCTCCCCGCCCGCTTGGCCATTCCGCCCCCCCCCCATCCGAGTCGCCATGTGGCTCGCTGCAACCTCGCGGCGGAGGCGTGACCTGGGCGTGGTCCAAAATCGGGTAACCCCCAAGCTGGGTTGCCCTGGCTACTTCAAACATGGACTAAAAACATTGACGAACACCTGCGGGTTCGGTGAAACCGTTTAACCCATACCTGGCGAACCAAATCACGAAAACCTCTGCTGAAATTTGTTGACCCCCTGTCCATATGAAAATTTGGCCCAGCCTTCCAAGGCCTCGGAGGCAAGGGCCACAGCCTCCAGGCCAGCGCCCGGCGCCAAGGCGTCGGCTCCTGAGATCGAGATCGGGTCCAGAGGTCTGAAGGGGGGAAGCCTTGCTGGGAATTTCCATCCCTTGCGTCCTTCAACGTGCAGGGCTTGTTGCCGCTGCACGTAATGGGAATATCCATCACTATCTGAAGGAGGAGGGAGGAATTCATTGCGTTTTGGGGGGCATATGGGGGCATCCCTACTTGAAAGAGGTGGGATTGGGAATTCAGTTGTTTTTTTTGGAGGGATGCATACAAACCGATTCCTATGGAGTTGTTTGAGGGTATTCAAATCCAAGTTGGGAGGGAGGCATAGTGTGGGGGATAGGTCCTTTCACTCTGGGGCGGGGAGTCCTGAACCCCCCCTTTTTGAGAATTGACATCCCGCCAAATCCATACAGGGGGCATTCCGGGAAAGAAAGCCTTGAAGAAGCAGTGCCCTTGCCTAAGGTGCCCTTTGCCACAGGCTGAGCCAGACTTGCCGGTGGCCATTTCACCAGGATGAGAGGTAGAGCTTTTTCGAGCGACCACAACTATTTCCGCAATGCTAGGCGGCAGCGTACGCTGAAGTCATGAATCCGTGCGACAGGCCTAGCTGAGGGAGTGTTTGCATTTTGTCACGCTTACATTTCTGCCAATGTTGTTGGTAGCCGCTCGCTGCAGCAGAAGCTCTAAGATCTGGCAAAATGACTGACATGGCTATGTGGGGGGGGGGGGATTGCTCAAGAATTTCCGCCGGACACAGAATGGGCTGTTTCAAACAGGCGAGGCTTGTTGAATCCCCGCCAGCGCCCAATTCGATACACTATTCCACAAGCATCAATTAAAACATCCAATTCGACCCACGCTCAGGGCAATGATAAAGCTATCATGTCCGATCCACAGTGGAACATGTGAAACAACTCGTCTTTCCACCCCAACGCAACTCAAACAAAGTGGGGCATCGACTTTCTGCCTTGATGGCTGTCTTTGCTTTGTTCATGTTGTTCCAACTACTTTGACAACACCGGTCAAGTCATTCGATGTTCCAAGTCATTGCTCCTGGTGGCAGGCTCCGAAAGGACCGGCCCTGAGTCATCAGGGGCCGCCGCCCGCTGCGCAGCTGCAGCTCGCAGGCGAGCTGCTCAGCGAGTTGGACGATCTGAAGCGTGTCCCCTTTTGGGCCACCGAGACCGCGCAGGAGGGAGCGGCAAATTGTCAAATCGGGTGAGGCAGCGAAGGACATTGCAAGCCGCCTTTGGCCTAGGCGCATGGAGAACTCGGCCACCCCTCAAACCAGGAATATGGGAACAATGATGCCCAACCAGCACGGCTAATTTCAGATCTGCGACCTCCAGCCACGCACGCAAGAATCAGCGCGGTGTGCGCGGCCGGGCCCGGCAGGCAATGGGCTGCGGGCATGGAGGCGAACAAGTCCAGCACATGCTCCCATCCTCAGTCATACGCTGAGAGCAAGGACGTTGGCAGGAGCTGGCCTGATAATCGGTTGCATTACTTTACTCGGCCAAAGGTATTGCTGTCCCCAAGCGTGGCCCCGAAATGGCAGCTTTCCGGTCATGTCGTGCTACAGTAGCCCTGGCATCAGCAAAAAGGACCTGTGATAGTGACATCACCATGCCGGTGCTTTCAACATTTGGGGCCTTGGTACGCATCCTTTCGGGCTTCCCAATCGAAAGGGGGCCAACCTATTTTGAGACTCCAGCTTGCTCTCCGAGAGTCTGGAGGAGTGCTGGCAGGCAGTCATGGTAGAGGTGAAGGTGATCTCGTCAGCCAGGTTGCACTGCAGCATCTCGCTCAAGAGGCCAACAGCCAATGCCCAGTGTTTACCTTAGCAGTGGACGTTTGAATGGTTCCAGGTGCCAACCAACATTGTATTTGTTTTGATGGTCAACATCCACCACGCGTCAGATACATCACGCTGACTCATTCGCAGGTGCAGCAAGAAGTAGTAACTTCAAGCAGGAGATACAGCAACGAAACACTGGACTACGTCTCAACTTGTGGAATGCGCGCAGAAAAGCGGAGTCTGATAAACGCATTCATTTGCATGACAGCGTGCATGACTGCAAACAAACAAAGGCATCTGATGCGATGCAGAGCCATGTTGCCCTTGGCCGCGGCACTTATCACGGTGTTATATGTCACGGCCTCCTTGGGGATTTGCTGATGCCGCATATGGGAAAGCAGGCGCAATGCTGGTAGAACCTCGCCCACCTTTTCACACGCACTGATGGTGGCGTTGAAAATCGTTGCGCTGGGGCACATCTGCATGCTGCGCATCTCATCCTCAGGGATCTGCAGCCGGTAAGGGGTCCACCACAAAACAGATTCTCCTTGTTTCTGTGTTAAGCTGATTTGTTCAGATGAAGATCCAGCAATTATGGGCCAGCTGTTTAAACGTCTTGCCCATGGGATATGCCCAATATAGTCCCTGGTCAAGTCTGAAGGGAGGTCCAGCTACATCTTCGGCAAAGATTCGAATCATTGACATGTCAGGGGCACCTCCCCCCCCCCATCTCATTCGATCTCTCAAGAAGGTGGCTCACCACCACGCATTGCGTTCAAAAAGGCGAGCCCGGGTCCAAGATGCTCACGGCCACCTGCCAGCCGTGACCGCGGCCGCAGGCGCTGATCGCAGTGGTGAAGGTGCCCTGGCGAGCGCAAGCTTTGAACCGATGCGGCCCGTGCCGCCTTGCCGCCCGTCAAACAGAAAACACCTACCCTCCTGCCCACTAACATGGAACCCACCAAAGGGTGGCCTTTTAAAGGAAAACCGTCTTCCAGGACCCACCAGTCAAGTTCCATGTTAGTGGATGGGAGGGTACCCCACCAACAAGCATGGTATGGTGCACCGGCCCCAAAAGGGACGACCCTTAATCCCTTTTGGAAGGGATGCCTATGCACTTCCATATCTGGTGAGAGGGTCAAGGAGGTTGTGCCACTCTACCTGGCTCGTACTTGGAAACCTTCCATTGGCCCATTGCCTCTTGGTAAATAAAAAGTAAATTGCCGAATTCTAGCCAGTTGAACCATCATGGTCCAAGCAAGATTTAAACACCCAGCTGCCGCTGCTCCCAAAGGAGGACCCTTTGTGTTGACCAGTTTTCGTGGAGACCCCGCGAAGAAGGATTTGGGGGAACAGGTGGGCGACCCTGCCTCTGATGGCCTCATGCGACTCCGGCGGAGATCGCGAAAGAGTCCCAAGGCCGTCTCCCACAGCCTGGTTTGTGCTGGGTACGACAGGTTTCCCTGTTTCCTGGGCCCACCCGCTCCATGCTTCAGAAGGGAGAGGCAAGCTCACATGGAAGACATCCTCAAAAGCCTTGCCCGCGACAAACAACCATATTCATTCATTATGATTTCTCTCCAAGCTTCCGCCCTCGTACGCAGGCGTTCATCGCGCAGTTCATCACAATGATGTTGCGAATGACCGGCTCGCTCTGGGCGAACAGCGCCAACGCCATGGCCCACTGATCGCCCTGGATGCAGGCGGTCATGCAGGTGCTGCACGCGGCTGCGTCAGGCGGCATCCTCTGAAGATGGGCGCAGGCGTGTCGCCATAAAGCCCCCGCCCCGTAGGCGCGCAGCAGCCGGTTTTGCGTCTTCACACTGGGCGCCTGAATCCTCAAAGTGGACCACAGGTCTAGGGCAAGTGCCCATTTCCGGGCCGAGATGCAAGAGCTCAGTAGCTTGGCCACAAACACTTCAGAAGCTTGCTGTGGTTGCCCTTCCAGCGATCTAAGAAGATGTTCCCAGCTCCCTGGAACAGATCGGGCGAAACGTCCGCCAAGTGCTCGTGCTCGAATCATGCGCGTAGCTCTTTGCTTCTGGCAGGCAGCCGGGGGCGCGGTCTGAATTCTAAAGCTGGGCAAAGGCGGGCTCTATCCGTCGAGCACTGAACAAAGCCGAAAGCTGCGTTTATGACTTCCTTCAGAAAGAAGAGCACCGATACAACACACACACACACACGCTCAAAAGAACATTTTGCCAAGCAGGTGCTGACATGTTGCCCCCCCATTTCTGTCAGTCAGCCAATGTCCTGCAAAGCCTTTGAGGCATTCCGGCCAAAACTCGCGTGCAGCTCCTATACGCTCCAAAGTGTCGATGCACCTTCACTTTCATCACCTTCTTCTTCTTCTTCTTCGCTGTTGGGTCGCTCTTGGGGTCTTTGCTGGTTGGCTCCTCAGAGTAGTCTCAGGGTTCATCCAGGCTTCACAGTCTGCGCGCCACGCTTCGCTCCGAAGACAGACATCCGCATCTTGGGCTCCAGAGAAACTCACAAGTGCACAAAATAGTCAAAGCCCTGCGTCGGCACTCTACAGAGACAAAGGTCGAAGACCCACATGCCCAGCAGTGTCAAGACAACAGTTGGTCTTGGCCCTCAGGTAGGCCAGGAGAGCCGCAGCCGGGACAAAGTGATTGATCTTCGGTGCTTACTGCTCGCGCCCGCAAAGGCTGTCGAAATTTGCACCGCCACTGGTGCATGCGTGGCTTCCTTCTCCGTGATGCATTCTTGAAGTTTAAAGGTCTTCCCACCTGGTGGGACCGAAGCTTGCTTAGTGCGTCTCTAAGTCATGTCGCGTTTTTTCACAACAAAAGGCTCCTCAAAAAAGGAACCCTCAAAAAGCGAAAGCTGGCATTCACCCGATCCGACACATGCCACTTTGGCTTATCTTGGCTCTAAGGATGCACGGTGTGCGCTTCACCGTTTGGCAAGCAAAGGGGCACCAGTCCAACGCGTCTTCGATACCTCTGTGTTCCTTTACTTTCTCAGGGCCTCTCGAGGCAAAACCAAGGGAACCAGAAAAACCGCGGCATCCTTTCGAACAACGTGCTTTGCTTTCGGGGATCCGTGTTGCTTCCCGAAACTCGACGTGGCCAAAGCCCCCAACGGAAAAGCCGTGGGGCACCTTCCAGTCCCTGGTGCCCAGAAACGTCGGGCGGGTCCCTTTGGAGGCATCCTTCCGGATCCGCGTGTCCGCCCTGGTGTCCGACAAACCGCCAAGCCCGAAGAATACCCAAAAGGCGACCTAGATCCCATTCCCCAACAATTTCCCCTCAGCCCAGGTGACTAAGTGACCCTGCCAGAAAATGGGAACCTTTTCGGAGGTGACATTTGCGGTGACTCACCACAAGGCAACCAGCAGGAATCACTGAACAACCCAACACGGAGTGCGCATCAGGGTTTATCAAAATTTGTTGAACCACCCAAAAGCATGGTCCCCTTTGAAAGCGGAACGACAAGGAGGATGATTCAACGATTGGTGCTTGAACGTATTTTGAAAAGGGGGTTGGTCCAACCCTGGTCTCACTACAGGCACCAACTCAATCAGCTTCCCTCATATTGGTGGTTTGAACGGGTGCCCATTGACCCTCTACAAGTCCCAGGGGCTCAACTCCAAATCCCAAGCCACCACTCCAACCCAAGCCTCCATCCCAACAGGGGAAAATAAACTAGACCACGGTTGGCCCGAAAGCAGAACATCGCAAGCGAGGTCGGCCCAACGCTGCAGGATGCGTTCTTTTTCCCTACACGAAGCATTCGTGAAGCAAGCGCGAGACAGCACCAGGCAAGGTGCTCTGTGCAAGTTGCTCTGTGCAAGTTGCTCTGCGTAAGTTGCTCTGCGCAAGTTGCTCTGCGCAAGTTGCTCTAGGCAAGGCGCTCTGCGCAAACTGGTCGGTGCAAGTTGGTCTGCGCAAGTTGCTCTGCGCAAGTTGCTTTAAAATGCAAGTTGCATCTTGCGACGCCCGCCCGCGGACCAGGGAGGAATCGAACCCGCGACCCGCCGGTTCCGGGAGCAGGCGCGCGAACCACGAGACAACTCCCCGAGGACCAAGTCGAACAACAAAAGTCGCAAAAAACCTCGAGTTTTTGCACCTCGACCACGCCGATCCCCGCAGAGGGTTGCGCGGGCACCGCAGGAATCGCAAAAAACCATGGGTTTTTGAAAAATCGCAAAGAACCTCGAGTTTTTGCACCTCGACCACGCCGATCCCCGCAGAGGGTCGCGCGAGCATGTCAAAAATCGCAAAAAAAACCTCGAGTTTTTGCACCTCGACCACGCCGATCCCCGCAGAGGGTTGCGCGGGCACCGCAGAAATCGCAAAAAAAACCATGGGTTCTTGCACCTCGACCACGCCGATCCCCTCAGAGGGTCGCGCGAGCACCGCAGAAATCGCAAAAAACCTCGAGTTTTTGCACCTCGACCACGCCGATCCCCGCAGAGGGTCGCGCGAGCATGTTAAAAATCGCAAAAAACCTCGAGTTTTTGCACCTCGACCACGCCGATCCCCGCAGAGGGTCGCGCGAGCATGGAAATCGCAAAAAACCATGGGTTTTTGCACCTCGACCACGCCGATCCCCGCAGAGGGTCGCGCGAGCGGAAATCGCAAAAAACCATGGGTTTTTGCACCTCGACCACGCCGATCCCCGCAGAGGGTCGCGCGGGAACTTTAGAAATCGCAAAAAACCATGGGTTTTTGCACCTCGACCACGCCGATCCCCGCAGAGGGTCGATTTTCGTGTAGTGTCGTCGGCACTACCCCGCCGCCCTAAGAAGAGATTTTAACTCCTCGCAAGTCAATTGCACTTGACTCCTTGCACTTGCAACTTTGCACTTGACTCCTTGCTTGTTTCAAGGAGTCAGAGTCATTGCAAGGAGTCATGGCAAGGAGTTTGCAAGCAAAGGAGCAGTCAGTGCACGGAGTGCAAGTGCAAGGAGCCAAGTGCAAGGAGCCAAGTGCATGGAAGGAGCCAAGTGCAAGTGCAAGTGCAAGTGCAAGTGCAGAGAGTCAAGTGCAGGCCAGCAATGTGCCTTGCTGCAATGACTCCTTGCAATGACCTGCAATGACTCCTTGCAATGACTCCTTGCAATGACTCCTTGCAATGACTCCTTGCAATGACTCCTTGCAATGACTCCTTGCAATGACTCCTTGCAATGACTCCTTGCAATGACTCCTTGCAATGACTCCTTGCAATGACTCCTTGCAATGACTCCTTGCAATGACTCCTTGCAATGACTCCTTGCAATGACTCCTTGCAATGACTCCTTGCAATGACTCCTTGCAATGACTCCTTGCAATGACTCCTTGCAATGACTCCTTGCAATGACTTTCATGATGCTGATTCCTTGCAATGACACCTTGTAATGACTCTCATGAGAACAACTCAAGTGAACCCAGCGGAAGAACCCTTCGCCATGCTTTCGGGAAAACATATTCCTAAATTCCTAACCAAATGGAAGCAACAGTTTTCCTGACTCCAGGCTCTCGCCTGGGGCAACTCGAAGCTAAGCTGGGCTCAAGCTGCAGCTCCTCCAACGCCGCCACAAGGTCTGCTGGCAGCGGCTCGCAGACCTCCATCCTCCTAAAGGGAAAAAAATCCGACTGGATGTCCCCCGGAAAAAAATGGCACTGATGTTGAGTGTTTTGTTTGCTGGTTGACTTGGAAATAACGGGCACCGTTGGTTTTTCTTTAGGGGTGTTGACTTTAAAGGGCCACCCTTCCCAGAAAAGGGAGAGCACTGGAGAGCGATACCCTGGCTCGGTCATTGGGACCTCCTTGTTCGATCAGTGTGGAAACTATTCAGTTGTTCACTCAGCATTTATTTGATTGATACACCCCATCTAAGGGAAACCCGGTGATTTGCAGCAGTTTACCAGGGTTCTTCACTTGTGGCTGGTTCACTTGCAATATTTCGGGGGCCACCGGGTGTCCTTTTGGAAATTTGGCGGTGCTTGCAAATCAACACCAAACTGGCAACAGTGGAGCCATCTATTTTCAACCAAGTTGCTCAAAGGACGCCTATGAGAGAAACATGGCTGTCTCTGGGAAAGAAGGCTCGCAAAAGACCAAAGGCCTGTACCAAGAGCCCATACAATCTTCTCTGGAAGGGATCCATGACTCAAAAATCCACAAAGTAGATTGCAACCACGATTGCAACCACGGAAATAAGCGGGATCGACATTGTTCAACCATTTTTGTATACCTACTTGAGTGGTTTGAACGCTCTCCAACATATTCCTGTCAGGCAGTTGGCCTATGGGGCTGATGCCGTGCAACTCCAGACTGGCAACCAATACACGCCCAAGCAACACAACAAATGCAAACAGTCAAGTAACGTGGCTATGTTTGACTTCCAGCCAAACCTTCCATCAAAAAAGGCAACCAAAAAGAACATCTCCACCAAGTGGACAAACAGGCCCCACCACCACCCAACAACAATTGGTGGTTTCCTTCTCAGTTCCCTTTCGCACCCCAAGCACCCCCATCAACAAGCCACCATACATCGCCACTGTACCCCGGTCAAACTCCATCCTGCTCCTTTAGACAAAGTGTAAGTACCCCTCCTGGGGTCGACTCCCTTGGCGCCCCGAAGCCCCACTGAACGCCTCCAGCCACCTTCGCCTCGCGCCTCGCGCGACGCCACCTTCGCGCCGGCGCGCGCGCGGTCCTCCCGGCGGCATCGGCGAAGGCCACCCGGTGGCGATGCAGGAAGTTCCGCGGGCACCAGGCGCAGTCCGCGGCGAAGGTGGCCGCGGAGGTGTACTTCCCGTCGCACACCGCGGGGTGGCCAATCAGCGCTGCGTGGGCCTTTTGAGGGCAGAGTGCCAGGAGTGCGTGCGAGTTGCGGGGGCTACTTAGAAAGTGGGCTTGCAACCGTTTGAGCAGGGTTGGTCCAAATGTCTGGTCCAGAGGAAAGAAGCGGAATACTTGCGGGTTGCGGCACTACCGCGAATTTCCTGGGGGTGAATTACTTCTGCGACTAACTCGGAGGAGCAACTTCACGCTTTTCCCTGACGGTGCAGGTTGCTCAGGCTGGTGATCACAGCTCAAGATGTCATGCCAAGGTTTTTGTTGGCGAGGTTTCTCGTTGGTGAGGCCTCAGCTGTGTGCTACTTGGAGATTGTTTTTCTTGCGGAATTTTTCAGGCCTGCAGCAGCTTTGGCCTACGCTGTTTCGGTATGCCAGCTCTCTTTAAAGCATCTCCCGCAATGCTCTTAAGTTTGACATGTGGAGGCGGTTGGCCTGTTGGTTTTATTTACTGGCCGTCCTTGGGGCGAGCGCACCTTTTTGTAGTGCAATTATCTGTACAGCATGTTTGGTACATGGGCTGGTGCTCTTCCACAATCCTGAATCCTTAAAGTAGGATTTGGGATCGACCCTGCGTTTGGAACAACCCCGTTCAATGGTTGGTGTGCACACAGGCTTGATATCTCTCTATGTGCAGGCGCCACGTGCAACGTGTTGAACTTGACGGTTTGGAGGTCATAAGTTCAACCAGAGCAGGGTCCGGCGCACAAATATCTCCAGAGCCTCGAATGCTCGAACACTATCTTCCAACGCCACCTTCCACAAGGCCGAAACCATTGGTCGCTTTTACGCCACTGGCCCTTTCACCGTCCCCACGCCGCCCACACCATGGGAGGCGAGGGGCTCGAATCTGATGCGTCCGACCCGTGACGATTCGCACGGCAACCAGGGTGAAGGCCTCGCCGTCCTCGCCATTGGTTTGACGACTTCGACACTTACAACGTCTTCTGCCAGGATTCTGCCACATGTCCAGGAAGCAGTCCATTGCGTGTTGGCGCATGGCAAACACATGTAACCACCAACTCCCTGACAGGAAGCCAACAGGTAAAAAGGTCCTTCTGACATCCACCTCACTCCAGCGGTTGAATTCTTCTCGGGCCCCCTCATGGCGGAACAAACTCAGCCTTGTCTGCTAGACATGTCCACTAGACAGGAGATGCAATTCTTGGATCCCACTCAAGGGGGGCAGCCCCCGCTCCTAAACTGGGTACAGGTCAACGTGTCTTCTCCGGGCGGGGAATGCCTGAGTTTTTGTTGGCTTTTCCAGTGGAAAAGCCGAGTGGCCCATTTATGCTGCCTGACCGCTGGCCAAAGCGACCCTAGAACTCAAGGAGCCACACCAACTACACTGTTTGGTTGTAAAGCTTGCTGCCGTGTGTATAAACGCACACTATGTTGCTTATGTTACATATACATTTATGTATTGTTGCTTGTTCTCTTTGCTCTTTTGTTGGGATGGGTGGGGGGGGGGGGGTGCGGCAGGTCCCCACTCCTTGACACCTCTGGCCACCGGCTTCACGCCGCTGAGCGCCCTTCTGCCGCGAGCGGTGACCCGGCTGGGGCCAGGGCTGCCATGCGGCGCCGGCAGCAGCGGATGTCCTGCACCAAGTGACGCCAGGCTTTGCCTTTTCCACTGGCCCAAGGTAATTCAAAGTGCATCTATTGGGGCGCCGCCTGCTCATCCTATCCACACTGCCATTAAACCGCCTCCCTTGGAAAGGGTTTCTACACCAAACAAAAGGCTGCGAAAGAACATCGCATGCGGAACCTGATCCCCCAATATAACGCGAGGGTTGATGGCTGCAGGAAACCTTATACATCGGCCTAATATATTAAACCAACATGTCAGAAGTGTGCAATCTACTTTCACCCAATTGTAGCTCCACGCATGCCAACACGATCAACAAGTTTGATTCGCCTGGTGAACTGGCCTCAGATTGTATTCCCCTGGGTCGCTGTGGTCCTATCCATCCACCTCTTGCCATCCAGCCATGGCAAAGCACCAGGTATTCCCGCAAAATCTGGCCGCGGCTCAGCTGCAGCTGAAGGTCCAAATAGGCCTGCAAAGCTGCCAAACGTGCCCAACCGAGGGTCCAAACAGATCAAACATCCGTTTGGCAAGCGCAAGACCTCAGCAGAACGATGCCAACAATCCGAAGAAAGCGAGGCGACAAAACTTATGCGCAACAGAAGCGCAAGCACTATCCCTTGGACATAGCTCTACATTGGGCCTGATATGGCTTGTCCCAAAGTAAGCGACTTCCACTACCCATTGGCCTGGCTCTGAGTTTGGCTTAGGGTACTCTGATCGTCAGGCTCCCCGAGGTCTCTGCCGCCATAGCGACGGCAAATCCCAGGGTCCAAGGTGAACCTCTCAAGGCCCTGAGTTTAACTAGCCCACGGCCAGTGCGAGCTGTCTTATGCCATGGAAGACCTCAAGCAACAACCAGGGATGGCTAGCTGAGTGCCCGGCTTGACCACTTCGAATACTTCATGTGTGTGAAGGCGCAAGAGGGTATAAATCGTCTTGGGGCGGTGTGCCAAAGCCCTGAGCCTTGGGGTCATGGCTGGCTTGGGTGTCATGGGATTGGCATGGGCCATGACAGGTAAGGGAAACAACATAAACCAGCATAAACAACACAAAACAAAATCAGCCATGACAGACATGAAGAATTCATTTCGGAACGTGCTCCCATCGTCAACAGGTCCGAAGGCGTTGAGCACGGATTGACCATTGACACCCCACACCATCCCCAATCCCAGCTGGCTTAAATGAGCCCCCCCCCACTCGTAGAGTTTCCTTGACGCACGGGAACATCTATGGGGAAGCGTCCTTTCTGTGGGGACATCTTGGAGTGGTCATGTTAGCCAACCACGTCTTAGGGAATTCCGAAACTGCTTTAAAATGAGGGGATCCCCAGATAAGTCTGGCAACGAAGTCATAGCCACCGGTGGTCCCCCCTTTCTCCACGCCTGGTAGCTCTTGGCCGCAATCACCAGGCCCGAGCCTGGTACGTCTAAACGGTGGAGGAAGCCATATCCGTAGGCTTTGTCCTGCCACGACCCCAAAAAAGTGATTCCTTGAGTAGAGCAATCAGAAAAGAAGCCCCTTTGACCACGGGCACCCTTTTCCACTTCGGGTCATGTGTTCATTTTCAGATTTTGAGGCGCGACATCGGGTGATGTGATTTTGCCTGCCAGAAAGAAGTCTAGTGACCGGCTGGCTCCCCTTGGCTATGGTCACATTGCCATTGTCAGATCTAAGGGGAGATTGGCGAAGGGCACTGTGGGCCCAAAGGGGTTCGCTTTACCAAAATCGATCCCCCGAGTCTGGCCCTAACAAGTACTGACAAGGCTTTCCCGCACAGTCTCCACCAGAAGGCAATTTGCCGGATGCAGTTAATCCGCACCCCACGGCCCTGTCTGAATGGGACACATACATCCTTCGAGAGTGCTTGAAGAGAAACACAACACGAAGCCCAACCCCTCAAATTCTCGTCAACATTCCACCCAAATCGGGCCGTACCCCAAGTTGACTCCCTGAACGCTTTGTGCGTCGCGCGCAAGGAATCGGAACGAATGTGGCTGCCGGCCAAACCCGGCTGAATGCTTTGCCTTAAAAGGGCGTCCTGCAACAAAAGCATCAATCGCTCTTGGTGGGTAAAACTTTCTTCCTCATCAAACACATGCTACCATGGGGCCACCACATAGCAGCTTCACCGATCTCGCCTTGAAATGAGCAAAGCCGGCTTTTTCATTGAACACTCGCGGTGGCTTTCGCTGCATTGCCTCTTGCCCTCCGGGTGGGAGCTAGGCAGAAGCTTCTCTGGGCCTCGCCTTGCTGCCTAACCTTTGCCTGGCTTCTGCCCGAAGGGGCACCCCGTCAAACAACTTTTTGTGGAGGGAGGGGTTCCTGCAAACAGGCAACCAACAACAAGTTTCCTGGGCGAAACTTGAACTGGGATCTGGCTGCTTTGCCAATTTGCAAGCAGAGCCGAGAAAAACAAATCTAAAACACCGGCAAATTCAGAGCGGGGTGATTAAGCCTTTGGGAGCCTGGCAAAAACATAGCTGCCAACTAGCATCTGAAGGTTCAGTGAAAAATCCATCAGCTCCCAAGCACTCTAAGAACTTTCGCCAGGTCCCAACGCCAGCCAGGTCTCCACCTTGAAACCCATGGCGAATCAGACGGTCCTGGAAGATCGGATGCCCCCCGAGGAATTCGGACAACGAGGAATTGGAGTCATTGGGCTCCACTTCCCAGCCAGGAGGTTTGCCTGACTGGTCCGGGCAAAGCCGAAAAATCAAATAAACAACCACCAGCCAGCCAGCCAGCCAGCCAGCCAGCCAGCCAACCAACCAACCAACCAACCAACCAACCAGCCAACCAGCTAGCCAGGCAACCAACCGAACAACCAAACAACCAAACAACCAAACCAACCAAACAAGCAAACAACCAAACCAACCAAATAAACCAAATAAACCGAACAATCAGACAACTTGGAAGCGAAGGTCGAAATTTGGGAGGCCCCCCCCGAAAACAAAAAAACACGACGGCGAAAAGGTTGGCTGTGGGCAAGCGAGCTGCTGAGCACCAAACGGTCTGACAGATCCAAAGGGATGCGCGGGCTTTTCGGCAGCGGAAGGGCAGCCTCAGCGCACGCAGTTCTGGCGAAACGCCATGCTGGCTGCACATACATGTAAGCACTGCATGTATACCCTAAATGCTACTGCAATGGACTGACGACAGGATAGTGAATCTAATACACAAGGGAGTTGTATGGTGTCCGTCCCATGTGGCTGGCCACATTGTTCTTGCCGCATCGCCCACTGTGTATTTTATCTTGCTTGCCATGTGATAGCACGCATCGGGCATGGACAGAAGAAACCAATGTGGATGCAACGTATTTGGTTCTAATCTGGTGCCTGAATATGTTGCGTGTGATTGATGGCTTTGTTAGCTTGTTCCCGCGTAGGAAGTCACAGCTGTCCATAGCAGTGGTTTCCAGCATCTGCAGTCCGTGCCTGAACGGAAAAGGATAATCAGCAGCAAAACAAGCAATAATTCTGGTGACTATAAAAGAACCCCGAAATTTGGTTCTGGGGTGTGCTGCACACAATTGTGTTTTAGTAGAAGCTCAAACGAGGCTGTTAGAACCTACCCGAGATACCAGCTACCTCAGGTTTTGCCACCAACTACAATCGGCAAGCTTAGATTCTCCACATTCAGCGAACTGAAACTTGCAAACTGATGACGCATGACACACAAATCCTGAGGAAATCTTCAGCCCAGCAGCGGTGGCCATGCCTTGCTCGTCCATGGCACGCCCTCGTTGAAGGAGCTGGTGCCTGAGTTCCGTGAAGCTCCCTTCTAACTCGTATAAACTCAAACCGCCACCAAAGGTAATTTGGAGACTAAAACTCCCCAGGGAAACTTTGAGAACCTCTCAACTTTCGGCCACCTAATTGGAGCTCGTTGCGGTCGTGGGGGGTTTTGTACGCGGAGTGAGAAACGGGCCCAGCCTGAGCTGGTCCAGGCGCAGATGGAGGCCCGCGTGGTGCAAGGCCCAGGCCACCGCCAGGAGACTCTGACTGTCCTCGGAACAAAAAAGACCCCTCAGATGCCCAGTGCATTTCCATGGGAAAGAGAGGGCATCCATTTTTGGGTTGGTTGAGCTTAAAGGGGACCCCCCAAAAAAGAAAAAGAAACAAATAAAAGGGCATCTATTTTTGGGTATTCTTGGGGAACCCTTCCCAAAACACATGAAACAAGGGGATCCACTGGGGAAAAAAGGGCATCCATTTTTTGGTTGAGTTTAAAGGGGAACCTCAAGAAAGAATGAAAAAGAAAAAAGATGCATCCTTGTTTTGGGGGGAACCCTTCCCAAAACAAATGAAAAAAGGGCGCCCCTATTGGAAAAGATGGCATCCATTTTTTGGTTGGTTGAGTTTAAAGTGGAACCCCAAAAAAAAGAAAAAGAAACAACAAAAAGGCATCCTTTTTTGGGGAACCCTTCCCAAAACAAATGAAAAAGGGCGCCCTTATGGGAAAAAGAGGGCATCCATTTTTGGGTTGGTTGAGTTTACAGGGGAACCCCAAAAAAAGAAAAGAAACATATACAAAGGGCAGCCTTTTTTTTGGGGGGGGGACCCTTCCCAAAACAAATGAAAAAGGGCGCCACTATGGGAAAAAGAGGGCATCATTTTTTTGGTTGGGTGAGTTTAAAGGGGAACCCTTCCCAAAAACAAGAAAGGCAAGTGGGAACCCCCCCCCCCCATGTCACATGGAAGACAAAGACAATCCCCAAAGACCTCATGGTTTGAAAGGAAAAATGACTGACACATACTGAACCCTACTTCTTTTGTGCTGGCCCTTGAAATTGTCCATTAGTGGGTAAGGCTCCATGGGTGTATCAAAACCAGAGCACGAGAATGGCGGGGTTCAAAAGGTACTGGGCGTGCCCCATTTCGAAGTGCCTACTCCACTCGAAACAGCGGGTCCATGTAACAATGTTGAAGTGCGAGGCATTTCACAAGAAGAAGCGTGCCAGAAAGATGTTTGTCAAGCCTTGACCAAAAAAACACTGAAGCTGGCTGACTTCAGAGGGAAGCCTACTTAAAGGGGCCTTGTACCTAGTAGGTGGTTAGTAAGCAAGTCTCCTAAGTGGGCCATACCCAGGCTTACTAACCACTGACACCCCACTAAACACTAAATAGCTAAAAAGCTAAGAGGATGGCTGGGAGCCGCCAAGTAACCACTTACCTGACGTACCCCGCTTTCACTCCTCGACATGAACTCCTGCCAGGCCGCGGCCTCTTCCATGCAGCGCTGGAAGGCCTCCGCGGCCCTCAGCAAGTGCTTCTGCTGGCTTCGCGTCGCCAGGGACCAGCTGAGGTTGGCCAACTCCGCGGCTTTGAGCTCCGCGGCCCTCAACGACTCAAGGCGCCCCAAGCGAAACTCGGTGGCTTTCTGATGGGACACCCATTCGTTGGCAAAAAGTTCAAGTCCTAACATCCAAGCGATCCAAGCAAAATGCACCAAAGCGGAAAAAAAGGGCAGCCCTCGGGTCGTAGCCGCAGATTGCGACAAGAACCGCACTCCAAAGCGCACAAACACAGCGCGGGCAGCATGTGCACAACCCTGGATGGGAACAGAACACGAGGAGAAACTCAAGCATCAGCAGCATGCTGTGCCAATTCATCAGGATTCAACGGCCTGAGGAAATTTAGGCTCATAAGGACATCTTTCATCAAGGGAGTAGCAAAATTTGCTGTCACGGAGCCCAGCCTAGCAGCACGATCAACAAGTCGGACCCCGCCTGGCCAACACCAGCCGCTCAGCTGTCTCATCAGAAGCAAGCTGAACGCGCGCCCAGGCCCAAAGCAAATTTGCCATGTGGCGCGGTTGGAATTCCCTTGGCTGGCATTGAAAACATTCAGACTAACTGCGATCCAAACATCAAGCGAGCAGAACTCCAAGCAATAGCCTGCGATGAGAAGTGTGCAGCAATGATTCGTGCCATGCAAATGGTCCCTTACTTTGTGAGGCATCTACTTTGTCTATCAGCAACTCACTTTCCAAGCGCGCCGTGGGTTGACAAGTGGAGATGTCGAAAGTGTTGCTTACACCGAGGGCACCGTTTGAGTGCAGCATAGTGTAGCCATGCTTCTGCATTCCTTGCGCGCACGCAGCCAATGGCTCCAAGAAGAGGATGTGGCTGTCCAGCTTGGCTAAAGCCCAGGCTGCATTTGAAAGCTCCTTCGCAGGTTGTGATTGGGACATGCTATGACATGCCATGACATGCTACATGCTACCATCTTGGCTCACATGGTTCTGTCCACGGCAAACTGGAGCATGCCTGCCTGCACTCACAAATCGAGCTCTGAGACTCCGGGATCCGGCCAGCCTCCTTTGGGCCTAAGCTACTTCAACAAGGCTCAGGTAAACTAGGCACACGCCAACACCAAGTTGGCCAATGGGGGGACACAAGCAACCCATAGCAACCGCTGACTCCTGGGGCTTGAAAATGCCCACAGACCGTTGGATCGACTCCAACAGCGCATCATCCTCCCAGCGCATCTGCTCGACGCTCACCAACCTTAATGCAGCGGGCTGGGGGCCCCAAATGCCTTGGTGTATTCCGTCCACGTAAACACCCCACAAGAAACCTTACACCGACGTTGAGCGACACCCGTGAATCTGGAAAACCAATAAGGTTCCATGCGTTGATCAAGAGCTCATTGACCCTGTCAAGGCTGAACGTGAATGCTGCAGAACAACTTCAGCACAGCACCCCGCCCACCTCCAACAAAATGACTCCGGCGCATCCACCCGATGACCTAGCTGGCCGCCCAAAACTGGCTGAAGCTGCATATGTCAGTTTCGTTACCAAAAGCGGATCATGGAAGCAGCCACACCCCAGAGCTGCATTGTTGGTTGCCAGCAAGCTGCGCAGCCGCCATTGCCCAAAGCACGTTGGCAAGGCCTTGCCCCGTCAGCTCCCCAAGCCGGCCACGTAGATGGCACAAGGGGACCCACTTGTCCTTAGCTGGGGGTGAGCTGGGGCTAAACCCGCACACCGTTCGCCCTGCAAATAAAGCGACAACATTCAAGCCGACCAAAGGAAAAACGGGGCGGGGCGGCGGGGGGGGGGGGGGGAACGTGGCAACAAAACCTTCCAATCAGATGGGAAATAACGGCTGCACCCCCTAAAATGGAGCTAGAAAGACTGGCCGCAGCATCCAAGGAAGAAAGCTTTGCAAATGCCCAGGCAACGTTGACCAGCTCCAACGTGTTTAGCATGTCACCTTGCTCCGCAATGGCTTGCTTTGCCAGAAGCAGGAATGGAGAGTGGTGGGCGCGTACCACAGCTGATGCCCACAACAAATTTGTGATGTGCCGCGGGGCCAGTGATCCAAACCTCCTTGCTGCTTCTCCGAACATGTGCTCGCACAACGGATCGCGATCGTTACCCTGCAAGAAGGACAGCTGAGCAAAGGACCACACCAAGTTGGTCATTTCTTGCGCGCCCAGCCTTTGGTCTGCTGCAAGGGCCATCGGCCGATTGATGATTCGACGCCTTTGATTCCCTTCGGGCAAGGTCACAAGGCTCCGCGCTGCAGACCACATGAGGCTGGCAAACTCCTTCGGCTGTAGCTGCTCGAGCTGACCCGTGACGGCAGCCCAGAACCTGTTGGCCACGCCCATCTCTGTGTGCCATGGCGCAGCTACCTTTGTCAATGCCCAGGCTGTGTTGGCGAGGTGCCGTGAAGAAAACTCGAAAATTGTCCGAATCCATTGGGTAGTCATGGCTTTCATCAAGGAAGGGCGTTCCAACTGCGAAACGGCACAAGCCCACGTAACACCGGCAACATCTCGATCTCGGAGTGTGCGAACAGACTTGGCCACGCTGTCAGTCAAGGCATAAGCCAGTTCGCCTTGTAAGCATCCAGTTATGGCAAGCACCCAATACATGTTACCAAAACAGTGAGGTGCTCGCTGATGCTGCCGGTTCCTCCGCACAATGGACCATGACAACGAGCGCACCAAAGGCCGGTTACTTGGCTCCAGGGTTCCAACCGCCCACAGCACGCATTGTAGCTCGTTGTTGGTGAATTCAAGGATGCGCTGGTCACATTCCTGCAACGCCCTGCCAATGTAGTTGGGCTCGCTCGCCCGTTTCTTCGCCAGTGCCCACAAGGTAGCTGCTAACTGGGCAGGTGTCTGAGTTCCAGGCGTCCGGCAAAGTTGCACCGCATGCTGCTGGCTGGCATAATGCCGCCACTGCATATGCCCGTTGCTCGACTGCCATTGCGAGCCTCACCCATTGCCATGCGCAGGCGTGAACTCAACACATTTCAGTGCAGGGGCCAGTTGCCTTTTACCGCATCTTTGTTTGTGTGCCAAACTCATTTAGAAGAAAAAGGTGAAGCAGAAATCGGAAGCAACAAACAAGGGTAATGAACCCGACACAGCGTTGGAAGGCAATTCAAGTAAGTTGTTTCGCGCAGATTGGAAAACTCAATTCTGAGCACGCGCTGCAAATACTAAACGAAGGTCGGAACCCCACGCCCGAGAATAGTACCCTTGATTTCGCAAGGGTCGGAAAGAGATATGATCGAGTAAGAGCTAGCAGGGATCCTTACATTATACACCTGAACATTGCCTTGTAAATGGTGGTTTCCCTTTATTTTGGTGGGAAAAGCCATGTTTCAAATGGGCAAAATGTATCTTTCAAGGAGCCCTGGCTAGTTGAGCAAGATATACTTGCCTATCAGCATCCGAGAAAGGTGTACTTGCACACGATGCTCTTGAGCAAAAAGGACTTGAGCAAAACGTGCTCGAGCAAAGTAACCCGCATACATACCCCTTTGCTGAGAACGCCGAATAAGGCGATTAGGCACAAAGGCCAAAGGCTGGACCCAGACAAGCTGTCCCTCCGCACGCTATAAGTGAGAGCTCGCCGCAAGGCGGTGCACGAAGCCGAAGGTGTGAGGCTGCCCCACGTTCACAGAGGCCAAACTTTGCAGGCTGGGCCACCAAACTCCGGGCGCTGCCTCCTGGCAGTCAGGCTTGGCCTGGCCAGCCTCGACACTCCAACGGCCCCCAACTTCAACCCCCCTGCAAAGCGGGGGCAGGGTCTCGCAAGGAGTGCGCCGCAGCGTTGGCCGTGAGCGGCGGCACAAGTGGCGCGTGCAGCCCCTTTTGTGCAATACGCGTGCGCCCCAAAGAGGAAAAGGTAGCCTTAACTGTAATTTGAGCCCAATACGCGACCTTTGGCCACTGGAAGAGGACTATCCGCCAACTGGGTAGCACCGCGTGGCTAAGGCCGCGTGGAGCGAGCCTCCCCCAAGACAACGTCCCCCAGCAACACCTGGAACTGCTGGAGCAGCTCGCCCACCGAAAGGTGGATACAGGACTGCGCCCGCCGGCCGTTGCCCCAGCCAAAAAGCAAGGGGCCAGTCGGGTTACCCAAGACAGAAACCGTCGAGGTTTTCGCTCAACCGAAGCGACAGAAAGAAGGATCCAGCAAGGTCAAGCAAAACGCGCGGAATCCACAAGACAAGTAGCACCGCGTGAAGCACGAGCAGCTCTGGCTGAAGATCGCGCAGCGCTGGCCGAAGCCAACCAACCTTGGAAAGGCAATCTGTCCTCATTTCCATCTTCGGCGCCAGAGTTGCCAAGGTTTCCGGACTCGAGTCTGCAGTCGTGCCCTGACGATTCGGACCTCGGACCAGGCCAGTCTTGACAGCCACGAGCTGGGCGCGCAAGAGGATACAAGAATCAGAAGTGAGGAGGAACGAAAAGCAGAGGACGCAGCAAAGGAGACGGCCAAGGCCAAAGAACCCGCGCGCAGCAGCTGCCTTCGAAAGGCGTACGCAACATCCAATGGGCTTTGAGCCAGCCACCTGAACCAATTCATACCGTGGTGGTGGACGAACGGCCACTGGAAGGTCGCAACGATGGACCCACAAGCCGCCGCGCAAATGCAGCAGCAAATGGAGGCTCTAGCGAGTCAGGTGCATGCCTTAACTACCGCTCAGCAAAGCCAAGCGCAAGTGAACGCAAAACTGCAGCAAGAAAAAGATTAGCACCTGGCCGGAGTCATGCGCTATTGCAGCAGTCCTTGGCAAGGAACGCCGCCGCACAAGGAGCAAGGAGCGGTAGCCCCGCCAACCAAGCGCGGGGACCTCCGCCGTCCGTTAGCCACATAAACGTGCTTAAGTCGGTAAAGCAGCCGCAATCCTTAAAAGATCGGGAGCAATGGTTTCAGGTGGAAACATACCTGACGCTGCTGGATCAAGACTTCCCAGATGAGCTGGGGGCTGTGCCTTGTCGACCCAGTCGACATGACTGACACTTGCAAGGCAAGGCAGTAGGCACATTGGAGTGCTTGCCACGTATCAGTCCGTGCGTGAAGTGGTGATGTGCTACTTGCAAGCCAAGAGAGTTTGGCCCCTTCAGCTGCGTACGCGGGTCACGCCGGGATCCAATGCCATGGACATTGGTTCGAAAGGCAAAGGGAAAGATAAAGGCAAGGCAAAAGCATGGCAAAGCGAAAGAATCCAAAGATCAGCAGAAGGGTTCTGAAGCCAAAGTGCGGCGCCCTCGTGACCCACCTTCCGTGCATGCTTCGGACCACGCCAGTCCCCACCCTTCAAGGGCGACAGCCCCCCGCCACCGAAGCTAGCTTCAAGGCGACTTGCGCAAGTTGACCAGCTTCTCAAGCCCTGTTGCATTCGCAAACTGGCCCGTACAGTAGCCGAGCATTCACCAGCGTGCCGAGATGCCCAGAACTTGCCTACTCTCCTGCACTGTTCCGCGTGCTTTTGTTGCGGCGCTTGGATGCGATCTCCTTCTCGACTCTCTTGAACCACCGGTCAGGCGCTGAGCGCGCTGCTGCCCGGATTTGTCGTGAGGCCGGCGCCCGCGTCACGACCAACACTCTTGTGCGCGACATGAACGCCCCTGTTGATTGCCTTGATGACAGGCGAATTGAGGTGATCGCTAACGGCCTGCCCTTGTGGAACGGTGCTCAGCTCGCAGTCGACACGACCATTGTGTCGCCGCTGCCGCCGCGATCCTGCCAGGCCCGTTCCGTTGCCAGAAGCCAGGAGGCAAACGGAGCGGACCTATCCCGAGCTCCACGGTCCCCTCGTTGTCGCTTAGTCGTCCTGGATAATGAGAGGCAAAAACCTGCATGACCGATGGATGGGCGACTTGGATGGGCGCTGGGGTGTCCCTGGCCCGGCCCTAGCAAGCTGCCGCAAGAAGTCGGCGGACTCGGAGCTCCAGCTAGTTTGTCCTGTCTGCCATGCCTTCCGCCGGCTTGTCGTGCGGGCCCAATCCCGGATCTCAGCGAAGTCCTTGCGGGCCGCAGTGGTCCTTTTCTTGCCTTGCTTGCAAGCCGAATCCCGGCACGGTCCTAGATGCATGTGGCGTGTGCTCTGGTGCCTGGCGGCGAACCCCTCCCCCTAAGGAAAAACCCTCTGGTGCCCGGAGGCGAATCCCATTAACCTGGCCCAGACAGACAGTTGCTGCGGAAAAAGGCGCGCAAAAAAGAAGAAGAAGATGAATCCAGATAGGTCACGGATAATCCTGTGTTCGACTGACGCCGCCACAGGATGGCCTGTAGCCCTCCAACTTCCCAACAAGTTCCACCAATTGCTGTTGCTTCTTGGGTGGCCTCGGCCTTGCCTCAGCTTAGCCACCCCGATTGGGACTCCCCCAGCATGACAGGAGCTCTTTGGCGCGTAGTGCATGAAGAGGGGCCTTCCACTTTCCTTCGTGGCTGGCAGGGCCACGCTGCTGTTGAAGCCCGCCGGCATCGTGAGGCCTTGCTGGCCGGCGCCGATCCTGCTGCACAGGCACTACAGTCAGGGCCCAGGGCCATTCGCCAACAGGTTTCTCACCACCGTGCCAGTCTCATCAGCCTTGACCTGCCCTTGCTACTTCTTTCGTGTTCTCGCCTGCGCCTCCCTGCCTCTTGCTGTCGCCTTCTGGACCCCTGCGACCATCGTGCAACTTGCGCCCGGTCCGGGGGCGCGCGTGTCCGCTGAAGCGTGCGGCCGCACGCGTTTGGAGCAAGAATCGCGCCTTGCAGCCCGCCAGCGGTGTTAGGCCGGGATCGGCCAGCAAGTCGCCGAGAGGGGGCAGGCGCCACCCCCGGCATTGCAAAGCTCAGGTCCGGCCGCTTGCCCAATCTTGCCTATAAAAAGTTGATGCGAACGCAGTCATGGCCGCATGGCTCCGCAAGTGCCACCGACAAGAGTGCAGCGGAGCCGGGCCGGTGCCTCAAGTGCTCGAGCGCAAGCCAAGGATCGGATGAAGAAGGCCGCCTCCTCACTCCGTCGCCCTCCAACCTCGACTGCAAGCACGACCAGCTTGCCTGGCCGGTGAGGCCCCTTAAGCACAGCCAGGAGCCGTCGGTATACAAATTGCAATCCCTTAAGCACATCTGAGTGTTGCGGCAAAACGCATGTGCCGAGCATGCGCAGCAAGTAGTTGCATCGGCTGCAAAAGAAAAACAGGAGCAGCCAGTAAGCTTGCAGATCACCAAGTGCCGGCAGCCGCTCAACGAAGGCGGCTGATCCAACAAGGACACCGAGCAACTGTAAGCCCTTGCTCTTCTGCTGGCCTGCCGCCAGCGCCAACCCAGCAGGAGGCCTCAGGCGCACCTGGCTGGCCTGGGGTGGGTGGTGTATGACCGGACGCGTTCCTGCGTGCCTTGCCACTCTTGAAGCGCACGTGGCAGCGCTCCCAGAGCTCATTGGCAAGGTGCTGGTCAGGGCACGCTAGCAGCTCGTGGGGCTGCATTTGAGCATGCGCTGCCTCCAGGGCACAGTGTTGCACGAGGGAGTAGGGCGCAGGCATCAAGGGATCACCCTGCTCCCCCCCTTTTCGCTTGCTGTGTGACACACATATTCGGAGGGCTCCGAATAGAACATGCGCACGAAGGGGAGGCTGGTTGGCGACAGGCACCCGAAGGAGTCCCTGCAGCATAGCCTGGCGGCTCAGGTTTTTTTTCTTTAACGCGCCGATCCCATCAACAGAAACGAGGGTGCTTTCAGGATCAAGTTCGAGGGCGGCTGTCAGCAACCGCCTTCTGTTGGGCAAAACGCCGCTGAAGTCCACAATGCTGCGGACTCCGGTGTTGGGCTTCTGGACGCCCGCAAGGCACCGACGTTTGCGCTTGCGATCAGAAACCCCCTCATCGTCAAGGAGAAGGTCATGCCGCTCCTTTGCGAGCGCGGCGGGGGTTTCCAAGAACCAATTCAGACCGGCGGCCC